CGACTTAAAACTCGTTTTGTACAAGATGTATTAGTATATTATCTACGTAGTTTACCAAATGTAGCGATAATAGGGGGCGACTGGAATTGTGTAATACGACGAAAAGATGTGGAGCCTCGAGGAGCGGGTTGTTGCTTGGGGTTCCTGGGAAATTTATTGAAGAGTGTGGGTTTAATGGATGTGTGGGGGGGGGTGGCATGGTGGAGCATACTTTCATTAGACGAGATTATGCGGCGAGATTGGATAGAATGTACGTGTCTTGTGCGGTTACAGTGCGGAGAGTGAATGTGATAAATGTTTTTTCGGATCATAGAGGAGTTGTAATGGATGTAGATATTGAGGGTGTGCCTAGGAGGGGTCCATCATTTTGGAAATTGAATGTAAAGTTATTGAAGAGAGGAAAGTCGTTTGTCTTTCGGGCATATGTGGGAACGCCTTGTGGTTGAAGCACCTGGAGATGTGGACTTTGGTTAATTGGTGGGAAACTATAGCCAAAAAGCGAATTAAGGAATATTATATTAGTCAAGGGGTGAGATATAATCAGTTACAGTATGGTTTCCAACGATATTTAGAGGGGCAGTTGCGCGACAAGCGAATGCTAATTATCCTGTTATAGAAATTGAAAGAATTAAGGAGCAACTAAGAAATTTACAAAACGAAAGGTTTGATGGGGAAAGGCTTAAGGGTGGAATCGAAGAGGTTTTGTGGGGAGATCGGTCGTCGGCGTGTGTGTTGAGGAATCTACACAGACGTCGCAAGGCAATGGAGTTAATGGGGTTGAATGTTCAGGTAGGTATGCAGGGGTATAGAGTGAATCAGGTGTTGACGACGACGGAGGGTATGAGTGGGTATATTGATGCTTGGGTTAAATTGAAAACGCAAAGTGTTGGAATAAGTGAAATTGCATTGCAGTCAATCGGTAGGTTTGTGCAGTGTGAGCTGATGGAGCATGATCGTTTGATGTTGGGAGGGCCGATAACGGAGTGTGAGACTTGGGAGGCTTTATCTGGGGCGCAATTAGGTAAGGCGTCACGAATTGATGGGTTGCCCAGCGACTTTTATCTTCAAAATTGGAACGTTTTAAAGGGGTTTTTGGTACGTTTATTCAATATAATGAAGCGGGACGGGGTTTTAGGGGAACAACAAAGGTTGGCTGTGGTCGTCCTAGTTCCTAAAGGTGAGCCATTAACGGTTAAAGATTATCGTGCAATCTCGTTATGTGGGCACTATAAAATTTTTGGAAGGATCTTGGCTAACAGAAAAAAAAAAGTCCTGGGCAAAGTGATTGACAAGGGACAATATGGGATGCCGGGCAGGTCTATGTATGAAGGTCACGGTATGATTAGAAGTTTTATTGAAGAAAGTAAGTTTGGGGAGGGGGGGGGGGTATTGGCTATAGATTGGGAGGCGGCATATGATAGTGTGGAACGGGAGACATTATGGAAGATCATGAGATGGCAGGGGTTTGGGGCGGAAATTAATATCATGGGCCAAATTAATGTATCAGGAGGCAACCTGCGTGTGCAGGTGAATGGGAGGTTGGAAGATCGAATTCAGATGGGAAGGGGTTTGCGTCAAGGTTGTCCCCTTTCACAAATTTTTTTTTGCTTGTTTTCAAGATCCCTTTTATAGAGGGATAAGGGTTTTATTGGAAGCAAATGGGATGGGTAATGTAAGGGGTGGGGGAGCGGGCATTGTTGGATATGTCGACGATACGACGATTTTGGCGAGAGAAAACATGGATTTGCTTCGGGTAGAAAAGTTAGTGAAGTTTTTGAAAAGGCTTCTGGCATGAAGATTAATACGGGGAAAAAGTATATGAATCTTGGAAAAGGGTCACGTGAGGAAGGAATGGTTGCTGAAAGGTGGGAAAGGGTGGACCAAATAAAGATATGTGGAATCGTTTATGCAAGTGATATCAAGTTAGCACAACAAATAAATTCCGTGCGTATTGTTGATAGTGTTCTGAAGCGCCTCGGTGGTTTAAGAGCTGCTAATTTAAGTTTGCAACAAAGGGTGATTACAACGAATGTGCTGTTATATAGTAAACTATGGCATGTTACAGTAATATTTCCGATACTTCGTTGCGAGTTAAAAAGGTTACAAAAAAGTGTTTTTAGATTCATTTGGGGAACAGGGAGCGAATGGTTAAGTAGAGCGGTTGTCACACTCCCGGTTGGCAGTGGAGGGCTGGGTCTTATAGATGTCGAAAAGAGGATAATAAGTATGTATTTAAAAAGTAGTTATAAGCGGGAGGGAGGGGGTGAAAGAAGATGGTCTTCATAGGATACATCAGGATATGCGACGGTGGTGGGTGGGTAGGGAGTTCATGATAGGTGAGGCAATGTTACGGGTCTTAATAAAGTGAGGGATCCTTCACATATTAAATTGAGAAATCTTGATAGGGTAGATGGTAAGGCTGTGGTAGCGGCGGTAGAAGGAGTTTTCCGATGTATGATTGGCGTAATATTTGGGGGCGTTTAAACAAATTGCGTTTAAAACCTAAAGCCAGAGAAGTTATGTATAGATTTTTACATGGAATCTTGCCGTCAGGAATGGTTTTATTCTATAAGAGAATACGAGAGGATGGGGAATGCAAGGATTGTGGAGGATTGGCGACTATTTATCATACGGTGTATTTTTGCGATTGTATTGAACTTATAAGGGTTTGGGTGGGGAAGGTTTTTAAGGTTGTGGGGGAGGGGTTTGCAGGTCTTGAGGGTTTTAAGTTTAGATATAACTGGGGTGAATAAAAGGGTTGAGAATGCGATTGGGTATATGATTACGGATTATATATATATGATGTGGGCTATGAGGGAGGCGGACGTGCGTGCAAGAATTAATGCGTTGGCAGCAACTTTTTATAGGACACAGTGTAGGAATAAAGGGGTGTATGGAGGGAGATGGGAGAGAGATTTTAGTGAGGGTTATCGAAATTTCACATTAAGGGAAATATTTATGGGATTTGCAAAGTGGGTAAGGGGATACAACGGGCTATTTTCCTAGAATGGGGAGTGAGCATGGAGAGCTGTTTTTATGGATGTATAATTGAGTTTTGATATCTAGGGGCAATAGGGTTATTGCCCAGAGGGTTTCAGGTACTACACAGTTATGTGGAAGTGTGTTGCACTACGATTGCATATTAGTTTTCATGTATAAATCATTTCAAGGACTTGATGATGAAAATTTTCAATGAGATTCAAATATGTTATAGGTGTCTTCAATGATTTAGATTCAATTGTAAAAAGATCTTTATTTTCAGTTTAATTACAGAGTTTTTCTTATGTAAAGCACAACTTAAATGGTGTAAATTAGAAAAAAGGTAGTTTTGATATTTTAAGGTTCTTTTTTCCTTTTAATGTATTCATCGATGGAAGCAATATGATGAATATTGCTAAGATTTGTTAACGGAAAATTTTCTGTACTCTTGGAGTTAATACAGGTGAATGCATTATTCTTGGTTGAATGGAGGTATCATTATTATTGAAGGTGGAGGTGAATGTGTTAAATATGTCAGTATGTTTTATATTAAAATTCCTTTGTTTAGCACATGTAGGAGAACTGACACTCAGAAATATTTAGAATGAGAAGAGTGGGATTTCCTTTTTATTGTTTTTTATTCGTTGTAAATATGTACATCAATGATTTAGAATAGTTAGTGGGTTTTTGGTAAATTTATGGTTTGTTACGATAATCATATTGTAGTAGGAATACTAGGCTTGGGTAGATGGTATAACTTATGATAATGGTGTAATGCTTCTTGACATTACAAGACTATTATAACAAGGTGGTTCAATGTTTTTAATGGCAAGCAATTTATTGGAAAAAATTTGAACGTATTCTCAAAGAGAGATGTATCAATAGACCTGTGCTGATTAGTGTAGTGGTTTGCATATGAGGTTTCTAAATTTATGTAGGTCCATTCTTATTCTATATTCCTTTCTTGTGTTCAGAGCAGAAGGAATTTGAAAGAAAAAAAAATGGATAACTGTACTATACATAATCAATTCCGAGATAATTAAGAGATACAATGCTTAATTTGATGAAGAATTAGGTTGCTTTTTTACTATTGTTAACTTATATACTTTTATTTAGTTTAGGACAGTCTGAGCTTCGGCATCAGATATAGTTTGGTTATAGTTGTTATAATGTTAACAATGTAATGGTAATAGGTATGTGTTTCAATATCCGATGTCAGGATTTTCATTCAGTGCAATATATTTGTTTGAATTTTCTTGACTCATATTTGTGTATAGTTTTAAATAAAATATAAAAAAAAAAAAAAAACTAAGTGCTCATCCTTTCAGCCGTTGAGGTGCGGCCACATGATTGGCCGATTATATAATTGCATTAATGAGCGGGTGTACCTAATAAAGTGGCCACCGAGTGTGTATCACACTTACAAATTTTATCAGTCTACCTGTACTGCAAGCTATCTTCAGTTGTATAGCTTAAATCCTTCCAGTGGTATTTAATCAAGATCCGATCCCTTATTAATATATCCACAACTTTTGCGCTAAACCCTTAATTCTCATACACAGAAAAGTAATTTTATTGCAGACTACTGCTGTGCTCTTTCTCGCTACACGATACGCAAACTTCTAGTCTAATAACAGCCTCGGCTCTCAAACACTAAGTGCCATTAAACACCGTAGACACTGTACCCAGAGGCAACTACCCACAGAAGGCGCTAAATTAGTTCTTCCCGAGCCTCCACCTTTCCACACCAACTGCCAACTCAAAGAACCACCATTATGGATCCCCTACCGCTAATTTTATGTCTATATGAGGGGCTATTAAAATAATTTGGGACACTAATTCATCACAACCAGCGACTTGGGGAAAGAGGTCTTTGCTCTGATCGTCTTCATTATAAAACCATAGCTTCGTTATTCTACTCAAAAGCCTTATCATAAATTGAGACATCAAGGAGTTGATAACGAGAGAATTTTCTCCCATACAAATAAGAAATTTTTCTCTTTTAAATTTTAATATCTAACCTGTTTGGTCGATTGGTGTGAGCGAAGGTTTGAGAGGTCAGGTAGAGAGTAATAATGACGCAGATCATAGGTTGTGTCCCTCTCATCTTCACTGGCAGTTTTGTCAATATCAGGAATAAAGTCAGACGTGGCTGATGCTTGGCAAGATGTACCCTGGAATACCAGACATTTCGTCAATCAGTTGGGAAAAGAAAAAAAATTCCTTGGCAGAAATAATTCACCGAAAATGATGGACTTTGGAGAGGAATCTCACGAAGTTTAGGTCCTGAACCAATGAAGATTTACTTAGTAGTCTGGTGTAAACCCTGGCAACAACGTTTAGGTCCCAGGACCTAAACGTTTTCTAATAAATATGTCCTATGTTCTAAGGTAGTCTAAAGATGTATATTCAGATAACGAATTGTTCGTTGCTTGTATTTACAGTATTACAACTAACAGGCTTTAAAAAATCACACAGTAAACGTTTTTAACTTTTTGAACTTATTTCAAGTCGTAATAAATGACTATTGCAATTTGCTTTACAACATACTGAGAATAAGGTTTATTTGCAATTAATCGACAGCTCCTCCGCCCCCTCCCCTATCCCTGGTGCTGACGCTACCCTGCAAGACTCCTCCGCCCCCCCCCCTGGTGCTCACGCTGCCCTGCAAGGCGCCTCAGCCCCCCACCTGGTGCTCACGCTACCCTGCAAGGCGCCTCAGCCCCCCACCTGGTGCTCACGCTACCCTGCAAGGCGCCTCAGGCCCCCCCTGGTGCTCACGCAACCCTGCAAGGCGCCTCAGCCCCCCCTGGTGCTCACGCTACCCTGCAAGGCGCCTCAGGCCCCCCCTGGTGCTCACGCTACCCTGCAAGGCGCCTCAGCCCCCCCTGGTGCTCACGCTACCCTGCAAGGCGCCTCAGCCCCCCCTGGTGCTCACGCTACCCTGCAAGGCGCCTCAGCCTCCCTCCCTGGTGCTCACGCTACCCTGCAACGCTCCTCCCCCTCCCCCCGGTGCTCACTCTACCCTACAAGGCACCTCCCTCCTGGTGCTCATGCTACTCTGTAAGGCGCCTCAGCCCCACCCCTGGTGCTCACGCTACCCTGCAAGGCGCCTAAGCCTCCCTCCCTGGTTCTCACGCTACCCTTCAACGCTCCTCCCCCTCCCCCCGGTGCTCACGCTACTCTACAAGGCTCCCTCACGCTACCCTACAAGGCTCCTCCCTCCTGGTGCTCACGCTACCCTGCAAGGCGCCTCAGCCCCACCTGGTGCTCACGCTACCCTGCAAGGCGCCTCAGCCCCACCTGGTGCTCACGCTACCCTGCAAGGCGCCTCAGCCCCACCTGGTGCTCACGCTACCCTGCAAGGCTCCTCCGGGCCCCCCCCTCTGGCGCTTAAGCTACCATACAAGGCTCCTCCACCCCTGGTGCTGACACTGCCTTACGAGGGACCTCCACCCCTGGCGCTGACACCGCCATACGAGGCCCCTCCACCCCTGGCGCTGACACCGCCATACGAGGCCCCTCCACCCCTGGCGCTGACACTGCCATACGAGGCCCCTCCACCCCTGGCGCTGACACGGCCTTACGAGGCCCCTCCACCCCTGGCGCTGACACTGCCTTACGAGGCCCCTCCACCCCTGGCGCTGACACTGCCTTACGAGGCCCCTCCACCCCTGGCGCTGACACTGCCTTACGAGGCCCCCCACCCCTGGCGCTGACACTGCCTTACGAGGCCCCTTCCACCCCGGCGCTGACACTGCCTTACGAGGCCCCTCCACCCCTGGCTGAAAATTTGCCCTTACAGGCCCCCTCCACCCCTGGGCGCGGGACACTGCCTTACGAGGCCCCTCCACCCCTGGCGCTGACACTGCCTTACGAGGCCCCTCCACCCCTGGCGCTCACACTGCCTTACGAGGCCCCTCCACCCCTGGCGCTCACACTGCCTTACGAGGCCCCTCCACCCCTGGCGCTCACACGCCTTACGAGGCCCCTCCACCCCTGGCGCTCACACTGCCTTACGAGGCCCCTCCACCCCTGGCGCTCACACTGCCTTACGAGGCCCCTCCACCCCTGGCGCTGACACTGCCTTACGAGGCCCCTCCACCCCTGGCGCTGACACTGCCTTACGAGGCCCCTCCACCCCTGGCGCTGACACTGCCTTACGAGGCCCCTCCACCCCTGGCGCTGACACTGCCTTACGAGGCCCCTCCCCCCCTGGCGCTGACACTGCCTTACGAGGCCCCTCCCCCCCTGGCGCTGACACTGCCTTACGAGGCCCTCCCCCCTGGCGCTGACACTGCCTTACGAGGCCCCTCCCCCCCTGGCGCTGACACTGCCTTACGAGGCCCCTCCCCCCTGGCGCTGACACTGCCTTACGAGGCTCCTCCCACCCCTGGCGCTGACACTGCCTTACGAGGCTCCTCCCCCCCTGGCGCTGACACTGCCTTACGAGGCTCCTCCCCCCTGGCGCTGACACTGCCTTACGAGGCTCCCTCCCCCCTGGCGCTGACACTGCCTTACGAGGCTCCTCCCCCCTGGCGCTGACACTGCCTTACGAGGCTCCTCCCCCCCTGGCGCTGACACGCCTTACGAGGCCCTCCCCCCTGGCGCTGACACTGCCTTACGAGGCCCCTCCCCCTTTGGCGCTGACACTGCCTTACGAGGCTCCTCCCCCCCTGGCGCTGACACTGCCTTACGAGGCTCCTCCCCCCCTGGCGCTGACACCGCCTTACGAGGCTCCTCCCCCCCTGGCGCTGACACGCCTTACGAGGCTGCCTCCCCCCTGGCGCTGACACGCCTTACGAGGCTCCTCCCCCCCTGGCGCTGACACCGCCTTACGAGGCCCTCCCCCCCTGGCGCTGACACTGCCTTACGAGGCTCCTCCCCCCCTGGCGCTGACACTGCCTTACGAGGCTCCTCCCCCCCTGGCGCTGACACTGCCTTACGAGGCTCCTCCTCCCTGGCGCTGACACTGCCTTACGAGGCTCCTCCCCCCCTGGCGCTGACACTGCCTTACGAGGCTCCTCCCCCCCTGGCGCTGACACTGCCTTACGAGGCTCCTCCCCCCTGGCGCTGACACCGCCTTACGAGGCTCCTCCCCCCCTGGCGCTGACACTGCCTTACGAGGCTCCTCCCCCCCTGGCGCTGACACTGCCTTACGAGGCTCCTCCCCCCCTGGCGCTGACACTGCCTTACGAGGCTCCTCCCCCCTGGCGCTGACACTGCCTTACGAGGCTCCTCCCTCCCTGGCGCTGACACTGCCTTACGAGGCTCCTCCCCCCTGGCGCTGACACTGCCTTACGAGGCTCCTCCCCCCCTGGCGCTGACACTGCCTTACGAGGCTCCTCCCCCCCTGGCGCTGACACTGCCTTACGAGGCCCTCCCCCCCCTGGCGCTGACACTGCCTTACGAGGTCCTCCCCCCCTGGCGCTGACACTGCCTTACGAGGCTCCTCCCCCCTGGTGCTGACACTGCCTTACGAGGCTCCTCCCCCCCTGGCGCTGACACTGCCTTACGAGGCTCCTCCCCCTGGCGCTGACACTGCCTTACGAGGCTCCTCCCCCCCTGGCGCTGACACTGCCTTACGAGGCTCCCTCCCCCCCTGGCGCTGACACTGCCTTACGAGGCTCCTCCCCCCTGGCGCTGACACTGCCTTACGAGGCCTTTTTCCCCCCTGGCGCTGACACTGCTTTAAACGAGGCTCCTCCCCCCTGGCGCTGACACTGCTTACGAGGCTCCTCCCCCTGGTGCTGACACTGCCTTACGAGGCTCCTCCCCCCTGGTGCTGACACTGCCTTACGAGGCTCCTCCCCCCTGGTGCTGACACTGCCTTACGAGGCTCCTCCCCCCTGGTGCTGACACTGCCTTACGAGGCTCCTCCCCCCTGGTGCTGACACTGCCTTACGAGGCTCCTCCCCCCTGGTGCTGACACTGCCTTACGAGGCTCCTCCCCCCTGGTGCTGCCCTGCCTTACGAGGCCCTCCACCCCTGGTGCTGCCCTGCCTTACGAGGCCCCTCCACTCCTGGTGCTGACACTGCCTTACGAGGCTCCTCCACCCCTGGTGCTGACACTGCCTTGCGAGGCTCCTCCACCCCTGGTGCTGACACTGCCTTACGAGGCTCCTCCACCCCTGGTGCTGACACTGCCTTACGAGGCTCCTCCACCCCTGGTGCTGACACTGCCTTACGAGGCTCCCCACCCCTGGTGCTGACACTGCCTACGAGGCTCCTCCACCCCTGGTGCTGACACTGCCTTACGAGGCTCCTCCACCCCTGGTGCTGACACTGCCTTACGAGGCTCCTCCACCCCTGGTGCTGACACTGCCTTACGAGGCCCCTCCACCCCTGGTGCTGACACTGCCTTACGATGCCCCTCCACCCCTGGTGCTGACACTGCCTTACGAGGCCCCTCCACCCCTGGTGCTGACACTGCCTTACGAGGCCCCTCCACCCCTGGTGCTGACACTGCCTTACGAGGCCCCTCCACCCCTGGTGCTGACACTACCTTACGAGGCCCCTCCACCCCAGGTGCTGACACTGCCTTACGAGCCTCCTCCACCCCTGGTGCTGACACTGCCTTACGAGGCTCCTCCACCCCTGGTGCTGACACTGCCTTACAGGCTCCTCCACCCCTGGTGCTGACACTGCCTTACGAGGCTCCTCCACCCCTGGTGCTGACACTGCCTTACGAGGCTCCTCCACCCCTGGTGCTGACTGCCTTACGAGGCTCCTCCACCCCTGGTGCTGACACTGCCATACAAGGCTTCTCCACCCCTGGTGCTGACACTGCCATACAAGGCTCCTCCACCCCTGGTGCTGACACTGCCATGCAAGGCTCCTCCACCCCTGGTGTTGACACTGCCATACAAGGCTTCTCCACCCCTGGTGTTGACACTGCCTTACAAGGCTTCTCCACCCCTGGTGTTGACACTGCCTTACAAGGCTCCTCCACCCCTGGTGTTGACACTGCCTTACAAGGCTCCTCCACCCCTGGTGCTGACACTGCCTTACAAGGCTCCTCCACCCCTGGTGTTGACACTGCCTTACGAGGCTCCTCCACCCCTGGTGTTGACACTACCTTACAAGGCTCCTCCACCCCTAGTGTTGACACTACCATACAAGGCTCTTCCACCCCTGGTGTTGACACTGCCATACGAAGCTCATACAATACCTCAGAAGATGACCTCCACTTGTGGTGCTCCTGGTGCTGAAGGAGGCCGTTGCAAGCACAATACACAGTCTCCGAGAATGCTACTCCTACCATACTTTATATTCACTAACGTGCTACTCAGGAAGTACTGCTGCGCCACTCATTCAGCAGATGGCACCAACATCTCCTCCTTTTCTGTGACCATTTGCTTATTTACTTAACGCTCAATTGATTTTATTAAAGAAAACTAATTAGATGCTGAACTGTGTTTAATTCTCATGCCTGGCATCTAAGCACCTTTCGTCAGAGGCATGCAAAGAATCTGCATCGGAGCATCTTACGCATAAAAAATATAGACATAACGTAGACGGCATTTATATATGCTGAGATAAGTGTATATGAGTGTTCAGACTGGAGATGTGTATGCTTCAGCGTGTGTAACCCAAGATGTGTAATTCTGTGAGTATACTCTGTTATATGTGTACTTCAGTGTGTGAATACACTAAGATTTGTGGGTACTTCAGCTTGTTTACACCGAGATATGTGTACCTGAGTGTGATTATCTAAGTGTAGAGTAGATACACCAGGAAATATGTATATCTCAGTGTATGTACACCGAGAGATGCTTACTTCAATTAGTCTACACCGAGATATGTGTATCTCATTGTATATTCACTGAGCTTAATTCATTCTCTCTCTCTCTCTCTCTCTCTCTCTCTCTCTCTCTCTCTCTCTCTCTCTCTCTCTCTCTCTCTCTCTCTCTCGAGTTCTCTCTCTTGAGCTCTCTCGAGCTCTCTCTTGAGCTCTCTTGAGCTCTCTTTAGCTCTCTCCATTACTTCTCTTTCAGAATGCCCCTCTATTCCGAAAACATGAAACACGATTTATTTTTCTTCTAAATTATCCGTGTTATTTTAATACAAAGATAACATTTCAGTCAGTAGACTCAAGCACCTGACTATTTATTGCAAGGGTAGTATATAACAACGCTATTTTGCCCTGTAATGCTGGGCGAGGCAGCACGTTTATCGCCCCCACGATAAAGGCCAAGCACGGGCCTTCACTATCTGAAATTGATCTCATTTTCACATGCCCTTAACCCCCCCCCCCCCCCCCTCTCTCGTTTTCCGTAATAACACCTCAATGACGATGCAGGCGACGGTAGCCAGACCAATCCTCGCACCCGAAATCAAGGGTGACTAGAGTTCATTATATCGCTTGGTTCCAGCCCTATATAAACCCGTGTTTAGAATAAATGTGAATGTATCTTGTGGTCGGCAATATCATTTAGGGGGCCGGAGCCATTCCACACTTGCTGTAAACTCACATTATCCATCTTGAACACAAATTTGTAAGAACTTGTTTACCCTTGCGTCAGTGTTGAGTTTCTTGAGAACTGGAACCCACTTGAAGTACTTGCAATGAATCCTGTCGGCGGAGAGCGAAACAGCTGCGGAGAGCAATTACATCTTGAAGGAGGCTTTGACATATGTTTCTATAATGGACTGCGATAGGGAAAATATTTCAAAATAATGATCTCCATTATGTGTAAGCCTTTGGAGAGAATGTGGCAGCATTATGACAGAAACTGCCACACCGTACGTAAGATTGAAAAGAACTTCAATAAAGCAGAAATTTTAATTATCAAAGATTGCGTTATATAATACTTTTCCATGAATAAAAGAAATCTCAAATATGTTCCAGTTTTTGAATACTTATATTTATTTATTTATTTATTTATTTTATTTATTCATTCAGGGACTGCTAGTAAAATAAAAAGTAAAAAAAAAAGCAAAAAAAAAAAGTATTATCATAACTGAATAAAAATGAAATCCTTCTTCGGATGAAATTAGATGCAATATTCTCTTGTGGATTTTCTTTGATTTAATTAAGTAATCCTGACGCATTAAGTAATAAAGAAAATGTAAGAACCACATTTCTTCCCTCAGCCCTGGACTTAGAAAGATGCTCGGAATATGAGAAGATTGAATTTCTTGCCAATGGAGTTTCACCGTCTTACTAAGATTTTCTTGCCTTTGTAACATATCCTTGAGCAGATACAATTACAAATTTTGTTTATTCGCCTTCCAATATTTTCCTTCATATTATTCAAGCACTGGGTTTGAAATCTCCCGCAATGAAAAATAATCTTTAAACGGTACTCTACATAGCAGTCTTGGTGATGCCATACACTTGACGAAATAATGTTGCCAACGAGCATAATATATTTAATAAGTGTCATCTTCTACATCGTAGAAATCTTCAATTCCGTGTTTCTCTGTATAAAAACCGTAAAGCTTTGTTACATTCATTCCCCTCAAGGAAGGTTCCTTGATGTTGGTGAGGGGCTCTTGATTTAGGGAATTGGATCTGTGCTTCAGTTCCCCGAATTAAGCCTGAATGCCTTCCACATCCCCCCCCAGGCGCTTTATAATCCTCCGGGTTTAGCGCTTCCCCTTGATTATAATAATAATAATAATGTTACATTCATTATTATATATGTAATATTTAGATGACAGAAAACGATGGGACAGCAAAGCCTGGTTCTGGGTCAGGCCTTTTACAACGCCATCTACTGATTGACAGAAGAGTTACAAAGAGGTCTCAGCTAGTAGTGCGTATCAAGGGGTATAGTTCTCATCCTGTATGATTCACTCCAGGGTAATTGGTCACTCTATAAGAATCCGGTGGCTAGCAACCACTCCAGCAGCACCACTCCAGCTGTAAGGAAAAAAATTAGTTTTAGATTAATATTAATTAGTGCGTGCAGACTCCAGATTTCTTGTGGAAATTAGATTTTAGGCTCTTAAGAGCAGTAATTTTTCATGTAAAGAAACTAATCTGGAGAGATTTGACTTCAAGATTGAGTTGCAGAAGAAAGGCAAAATTTCATTCTCTTATAGCCGATACGGGAAGACTTTGTATCCTCGAGATATAGGACACTAGTATTTTATGAATGTAATAATTCTCTAGCTAAGAGACTGAGACCACGCTGGAGAGCCAGCAGTAGGCTCAACGCCGCGGTGAAAAAAAACTGATCGCAAATAATTTTCCCAACTTCCTAATCCCCCTTCCATTCCCCTTCCTTTCCCACAACGTTGTTCCTTGATGTTGGTCTGTATAGTCCTTGTGGCTTAGCGCTTCTTTTTTATTATAATCCTTGATGTTGGTGAGGGGCTCTTGATTTAGGGAATTGGATCTGTGCTCCAGTTCCCCAAATTAAGCCTGAATGCCTTCCACAATCCCCCCCCCAGGCGCTGTATAATCCTCCGGGTTTAGCGCTTCCCCTTTGATTATAATAATAATCCCACAACGTTGGTCTGCCTGAACACGAAGCCAAGATGCTAGGGGTGAAGGGCAATTCTCCCCACGGTATCTATCTTTCCATTCGGCACGAATAAGGGAAACATTCACACTTGGCCTTCTTTAATTAAACTGTTTGGTGAGCACCCAGAACTTGAAAACTGGCTTATATACTGGTCTGGCTTTGGGAACACCCCAAGCTAAGGAATATATTTACTAAGAATCTTAATATTGTTCTTGTATAATGAACATGCTTTGCATTATGTATTTGCATCTACAGTACGTGTGTTCTCGAAGTGTACCTTTCATGAAGTGGCCCGCCAGCCAAAATATTTGCCCCATCCTTTGTTTTACCAGTGTATATACATTCTTACACTGCTGCGTCTAGTGAAACATCTCGACCCATTCCTCAGACCTTTTGATACTATGCAGATCCACTTGTTACCGGAAGGAGCCATATGACTACTGCAGTGCTTTGATGCCCAATAGGTACATTGAGGAATAGTTCCCCTGAAACTGTCTTAAGGGCTTAGGGCTCTTCATCATGGAATAATTGTCAAGCATAGATAAATTGCTTCAGTTATGACTAAGTTATCGCTGAACAATCATTAAGTAATAAGCTTTCCCTAGTTTGGAAATTTAATGATGCAACTAATCCTCGGTTACTGGCTTTGTGGAGGTTTAATATGTATAAAGGTTTTATTTTATGAAAACGGTGAGCATTAAGCGATGTATGTTGTTAATAGTGCATATTAACTTTAGATTTTGACATCGCCACTGCTGATAGTTAAGTTCACTTGCATATCTAGGACGCTAGTTAGCAGCTGTTAAAGGCACTTGTTAGAGTATTACCTAGAATGCTGCATTCCGTAGAACATTTCGAGATTATAAATTTAAATTGTATTTTAATTATACTGTAGAACAGAGTAAAAACCTGGTGCACTTCTCATTGTTAAGCTTCTAAAGGTTAATATTCTTAGTGTTTTGAGACATAACTGGCGTAATATTTCGGGTACGCATTGGTTTTGATATATTTCAGTGGCAGGCCTACATATAGCCCTGCCTGGAAAGATATACCAATTCCAATGTCTTGCATCTCTTGCCTCTAGGATTTAATCCGTATGACCAATAGTTTGTGTATTTTAAAATGTTTAAAGTATCTCGTTAACGACTACTGTCACAGCTATGAATCTCTGAATTTAGATACTGCAAAAATGCAACTATCTCTAGTTTCCAATCTAATCCTTGGCCTCGTTCCTCTCCTAGGTTAAGCTCTGACGTAAAACTTCTTTAACTCGAAAATAACGCTGGGATACAGCTAAAAAGATATGGGTACAAAATTAGTCATTCTTTATTCATTTTGGCTTACCGACTACAGAAATGCTTAAAACTGCACATTGGCTCTACTTACGAAGATAGCGACTCGGCCGGTTGCAGTTATCTTTGACCTTGGAGGGAGAAGGTAAATAAATTGTAACAAGGGAAGGTTCCCGATTCAAACCCACTAAACGTAATAGGCTTCAACCATATATGCGGTTCCATATAACCAAAGCTTAAATTCCTTAAGCCAGTGGGGTATAGTAACTAGTTCTCGGCATACGAAAAGTAAAATGGCTTTTTCCTAAAGATAATTACTCAATCTGTAAACCAGTGTGAGCTAGCAACTTTAGTTTGTGATGTCGTAATTTATTTTGCTTCAAGACCCTTTTGGCTTAAACTAGCTCTTAATTTGACTTGGCTTTCCAATCTAAAAGGGCATTGCCACCTGTTTTAGGGGTTAAAAGATTTGTGGAGCCTTGGGTATTTTCCCCATCAGTATTATACTCTTAGCTCTCACTACAGAAGCGAGTTATCCTGCCTTAGTTAAATGTTTTTTTTTTATTGTCTTAACTTCTAAAATCTTCCTCCAGCAGCAGCCCCTCTGGCACACCTCTCAAATCTGAAAATTTTAACCCTCGTTCCCAGACAGGAATTTTTTTTTTAAATACCTTGCCTAAACGTACGCAAATTTACGCTCTGCTAAATGTCATTTTGAAAATGCTAAAATGCCAAAAGAGCAAACTAAGATCGGATCATTGCTAGCATAATTTACCGTGAATAATAAATGGTTTAGGGAAAAATCTGTATAGCAAATAAACATCTTTACTGGGGTCGCCTTGCGGTTTAAGTTCGGCCCAGTAGGAATTTTCCCTTCTGTCAAAATGCTGTGGCTTAACCCGTAACTGTTACAAATGGGTTATTTTGAAAGGACTTTTTTCCTAAATACCGCTCGGAACTTTATTAATAAATCGTTTGAGAAATCTTTTTTGCCATCTTAGACCCATGTATACTTTGCAGCAAATTTGATAGTGTGAAGCAGTGACCTGAGCTGACGTCCACCCCTGGGTGTATTGAGAGACGATGAAGAGGCTACGCCCTCTCCTGATCCAGTGTGTTATCCTCTTAGTTTTGACCTCATCCCTGGCTGTCAACCATACCAGGTAAATGCTAGTCGAATATACTAATACTGCCTCGAGCACTTATCCTTAGAGTAGGATTTGTAAATGGTAAAAATTAATCGGGATTGGTTATTTACAGTGGGTTAACTTAAATAACAAAGCTTAATAGATTGGTTGTGATGGGACGTAAAGAAAATGAAAATGAAATTCCTTTGTAGATAAATGGTTCAGAGAACCGACATGTTAAATTAGACATGTGCAACTCTTGGGTATCTTTACTTAGCAAACGTTTCGCCAGTGGCTTCATCAGTCCATACAAAGAAGAAACTTGAACAGGAGGAAAATGAGGTGATAAGTCCCTCGACTCAAGGTTGAGCGACTGATCACCTCATTCTCCTCCTGTTCAAGTTTCTCCTTTGTATGGACTGATGAAGCCACTGTGGCGGAACGTTTGCTCAGTAAAGATACCCAAGAGTTGCACATGTCTAACCTAACAGGAAATTCCTACCGAACCCATTTTAGGAAGGCACTCAAAACTACTAAGTTGAAGGGTATTTATGACAACTTGTTCGGTGTGCGCTAGGCAACCCGGGGAAATCGAAGGCTTTTTAGCGATTTAGTATGCACAGTCTGGAGGCTCCCAGTTAGTCTCAAATCTTCTCTTCTTAATGGGGACTTGACGGATTTGCATATTCGGCTTCTTGCTAGTCCCTCTATCCTATCTTACCTCTTCTGGGCATCGCGCCCACCCTCCTCCCCCCCCCACCCCTCTATCTACTCTCCACCCTCTTTCCCACGTCCTCTGCTCCAATCCTTCCTCACGCTCAGGATCTTTGTCCTCTATCCCCCTCTCCCCCCGATCTGTCCCAGATTTCATCTGGGCCTTCCCCTACATTTCTCCGCCCCATTTAGTTTCGCGAGTATTCAGGGTGTAGTTGGTGGATGAAACGGGGGGAGAGAGGGGGGGGGAGAAAATTAAACCCCCTGAAGGTTGTCTTCACGAGCGCAGGGAGACTTTACAAAGTTGAAAATGTTTCGTAAATGTTAGGTGTTGGAAACGCATTATAAAAAACTCCCTGGAATTAACTGGCATAATTGCATCCAATGTAAGAGCACCTGGGGGGGAAGAGAGGCAACCAGGTTGGATCTAAAAGGATTGATCCAGTTAGGTAAGGTTTGTCAGGAAACAGGACAAGCGTTTCCTGACGCGGATCAGTAAATGACCCGCCTGTGGAGCTTTCGTCATCTGACAGTTCTTTCGCTGGCTTACCGGTCCACCCCTTTAAAATTAATGGTCATTTTATAACCATTTAAAAATGTCTATAGATTGATCCAGTCCTCAATAAAAGTTTATAACCATAAATCAGTATTCAGGAACATTAGTTTGTAATTTACATTGTATACAAAATGATTAAAATGGCTGACTATTTCCTACTGGGATTGATGCGTGAATATACCAAGAATGTTCATATTTTATGAAAGTGATGACTTGTCAAAGGTTTGCCATATTTCCTATGGATGGATTCAAGTAGGAAGTAAGTTTAAAATGTTAGAGTACCATTAGACTCTTAAATTAAGAAAAATGGTTATATGAAAAATCAATATTAAAGAAATAATTTAATAGCCTGATCAGGTGTGGAAATTTTAGTACCATACAATAGCTATGGTATTAGACCTGCCTCAAGGACTTAACAGCACAGAATCCGCCATTAACGATTGCAATACTAAAACTTCATACATTACGTGGAATAAATTCGAAGCAAAATCAATGGTCTCAAAGTAAGAATAAAGGCAACTTTGTATCAGGAGGCTTAAACATGTACTATGGTAAAAGGACACTGGTATGCAGGAAAGTTTTAAAAATTAAACTTTTAGAAAGGGCTACAACAGGAGCGGCCGAACTTCTACATTCTATGCGTTAATTTTTTCACGCTTTTTAGATGCGCCATAACACTTGTACCCCCATTCATTTCTTTAAAACGTTAGTATGGACGTTTGACTTTTTCATAATTTAAGTTAAACATTATTGAGATTTTATTCTTTGATTTCGCAAAGCTTCTAATGTTCAATTAATTACTGAGCAGCAGATAATTTTTCGAATCTGAATCTGTCCCCTCAGTTTGTTTTTAAGCAGTTTCAAACTAAACTGCTTGTTCTGGAAAATGTTCACAGGGTAATTCTCTATTAACTGTCAAAGCATTTGAGACTGAGGGAAGAACATAAAATTTAATGTTCACAATGTTTTTAAATAAAAAAAAGTTCCCATTTGTGTTGCTAATTATTTTCAGGAATTTAAGTGGAAATAGGCTTATAAATGTGAATACGCAATTTTTAGCAAAATCACAAACTTTCGATGTTTTTTTCAATATTGAGTAAAACTGCCATTATCTTCAGCACATTCGCTGTTCTATATAAATGTGGAAACTGGCTCAAATCCTCAATTGAAGAATTTTAACTTTAATACACTGATATGATTAAATAAGCTAGGAAACTGTTCTCGCCCCCGCAATTTCAAATATAGATCAGAGATGATTGTTAATAAACTAAAAATGCTAAACTAGTCACTTGTCAAATTAAAGGACAATGTCAAGCGGCTCATTCTACCAGGAAGCCAGCGCGCCCCAGTGAATGAAGTCGCCATATTCTAAACTTAACATTTCAGTATTCTGAATTCTGTTTAATGTTGCTCTAATTTTGTCATTTCACTACCACAAACTGCAAATTTAGCTTTTTCCACGGCTACTCTTGGTGTATAATGCAATTAAATTTTAGAGGACGACCTAAAAATGTTCAAAGCAAAGTTGCAGTCACAGCTGCTTTACGCGTCATTAACGTTGCTCCGTCAGTACAAACTCTAGTTTACTAGAATCTAGTCGCAGGATTTTCTAGTTAAGGCTTTACTTTGTCAAATGTATCTGATGCTGTTTTTTTCCCCATGAAGGGACTCTAGACTAATATCTTCAAAGCTGTTAAAATTTTAAATTCCTCTTAAAATTCTTAACTGGGCTACATCACCCGTGTCGGCAGATTAGTCAAAAGCAAAGGTGCAAACCTGGGAAAGATCTTTCAGTTGCTCAGATGAATCCTAGAAAAGTACCTCGGTTCTTGTAACTCTTGGCTACGAGATTCTCCCTTTCAATAATTTTCATTAAAACTTCTTGCAAATACTTTGAGACAAGGGTGTTTCTTCATCAGAAAGGCTCCCCCCTCCGTTTTTATATATACCAACGCAGTCAATTTCGTAAGACACTTCAGTCATCGCCAGACTTTGACAACTTCTAAAATGTATTCTAATTTCTTCTCTTAATCCCCCACTTCCCGTAACCCAAACACTAACTTGAGTTTCTTTATCAGCCTGTCGGTTTTTTAATGTAATGAAGACATGATCTTGAGTGTTCTCACAATGCTCTACGGTTTTCCTCGCCAGCAATAAATAACTTTGCCACTGTTCATTAAATGATGGGTAACAGACTAGAAAGTGTTTCGAAAAGTACAAAACTTCAGTTCAGAGAAGCGCATTGTGTCGGTTGTAAACTCTGGTGTAAAAAAAAAAAAAAAAAAAAAAAAAAAAAAAAAAAAGCGCCTCGATGAAAAAAATCAAATGTTCGTACTTGCGGAAACACTCGTACAAAAGTCCCTCTGTACAATAAGGGCAGAGCACTGTACTGAATATATATAGCAACTCGTAAACGTGGTCTTAATACATTTGTAACTGAAAGCAGATTATGTGAACGATGATGTTAGCTAAAAGGTGTGCACGAAATTAATAAAATAGCTAATAATGATTACAAGGTAAGATTTACATTTCTCGGTAAAAATCTTTTCTAAAAGCTGAATTTATTTTTTTCTACAAATCTGTTATTGGTTAATTTTTGTAACCCTAGGTTTTTTTTTTTTCACTGGGGTGCAATGCCTAACTTTTAGCGCATCGCACCATTGGTTGGCCATCTCTGGGCTAGTAAGTTTATTCAGGTATATAAAAATAATTATGCATAGGATAACCCAAACAAGTCAGTGACATTTCCATTCGGGTCCTTTTAATACCTTATTATACATAGTAGATTGATTATACAATGAAGGATATATAACAGGAATAAGGTAAATAGTTGACTCTTTTTACATGTTATGGCTGATAAAAGTCCTCCCTTTGTTGCAACATTAATTAGGTGCCTTTTGGCTCTTCTTAAACTGGCTCGTGCTATGACTGGCTTTGACCTGTGCAGGCAGTCTGTTCCATTCCTTTATTGCTGTACAATAAAAGGCGTTTGAAGCCTAGCCACTGACTGGATACTACACTTGTAAATATAGTCAGTCTTTCCGTACTTGAAATTTTTTTATAATTTTACTATATACAAATATATTTCTTGATTGTAATACCTTCTAAATACTATTTTTTTTTCATGTAAATAGGTATAAACAGGAGACGATAAAAAGTTTTAATGACGATAGTAGTGCCAGAGTAGACCTGGGTGGCTGGATTAACGTTTCACAGACAACTGACAGAAGAGATGCCAGCGATGATACAGTGGGAGGTGACGATGGTGTCCTTGGAGCGCTCTGGCAGAAAGTTCGTCCCTATGTAACGGGGGAAGAAAAATTAAACCCGGGTGAGTGAAAATTCTAAACCACGCTTGCCTCTTGCTTCTCAGTATGGCTAAGAGGATATAACATCATTATCACTGAAAGTCGCCAACAAAAGTTCCAAATTCTGTGAATTGCTCTAAAAATAAATATGGAGGAAATTAAGAATGGAAGGTAAAAATTAGTGGAGTACACAGAATACTGAAATATATAATCGATACCCATTTAAGAACAGATACACCCGAACAAACAAGAGGTAAAAAGTTAAGACTAATATATACCAGCTCAATGAGGGACCCTCGGGAGTAAGGGGAACTTATAAATGTCCCAGTGTTTACCTGTGAGAAGACCTGGTGTAATGCATCTACACCCCTCAGGGAAGGTTCCTTGATGTTGGTGAGGGGCTCTTGATTTAGGGAATTGGATCTGTGCTCCAGTTCCCCGAATTAAGCCTGAATGCCTTCCACATCCTCTCCCCAGGCGCTGTATAATGCTCCGGGTTTAGCGCTTCCCTCTTGATTATAATAATGCATCTACACGCATTACTTTCCCAGTATTGACAGGCGAACACTGGATTTCATTCGTTAAGAGCTTTTATTACAAAGTTCCGTTTTCGTAATACGGTCTAATTTAACACTTCTAGATATTTTTGCCGACACTACAAACCTTTATTAAAATGAGAATGAGATGTAACTGGCTAGTCTTCCAATTTTCTAGAACAGTGGTTCCCAAACTGGGGGTAAATTACCCCCTGGGGGTAATTTAACCATTTTTGGGGGGTAATGGAGGGGTGACAGAAAAAAAAATTATGAATTCTGAAAATCAAGAAAACAATGCGGTACCCGGTATGAGGATTATTGTTAACTTTGTCTTAGTATATAAAGTTGTAAAGTAAACCTATTATAAGTAAGTAATAAAGTTAAACCAAATAACAATAAACATCAAAAACTAATATACAGTATTAGAAAAGAAGAAATATATAGCTAAGTGTGTGGAAACCCAAAAGTATTTTGACAAGTATGCTTCAGGACAAAAGTCACTCAGTAGCCCAGATCGACCTGTCCAGTACGCGTCACTCACTTCTGAGGCTGCCTCTATTTCACACTGTCAGTTTATCTGTGAGCATCAGCCGAGGTAGACATAAGCTGGTATGTATGTGTACTGCCCTGTGCAGTATATAGTTAGTATTTACCCACTGTTACTGTGAATTTGTAGCTATTATTAATTTTATATATAATGTATGGGTGTGAAGCATGGGTGATGAATGTTGCAGCGAGGAGAAGGCTGGAGGCAGTGGAGATGTCATGTCTGAGGGCAATGTGTGGTGTGAATATAATGCAGAGAATTCGTAGTTTGGAAGTTAAGAGGAGGTGCGGGATTACCAAAACTGTTGTCCAGAGGGCTGAGGAAGGGTTGTTGAGGTGGTTCGGACATGTAGAGAGAATGGAGCGAAACAGAATAACTTCAAGAGTGTATCAGTCTGTAGTGGAAGGAAGGCGGGGTAGGGGTCGGCCTAGGAAGGGTTGGAGGGAGGGGGTAAAGGAGGTTTTGTGTGCGAGGGGCTTGGACTTCCAGCAGGCGTGCATGAGCGTGTTTGATAGGAGTGAATGGAGACAAATGGTTTTTAATACTTGACGTGCTGTTGGAGTGTGAGCAAAGTAACATTTATGAGGGATTTAGGGAAACGGCAGGCCGGACTTGAGTCCTGGAGATGGGAAGTACAGTGCCTGCACTCTGAAGGAGGGGTGTTAATGTTGCAGTTTAAAAACTGTAGTGTAAAGCACCCTTCTGGCAAGACAGTGATGGAGTGAATGATGGTGAAAGTTTTTCTTTTTCGGGCCACCCTGCCTTGGTGGGAATCGGCCAGTGTGATAATAATAAAAAAAAATAATGTATGTGTGGTTCTTACGTTTTCAATGGTTTTGCTAGGATTAGCAGAGTATGCGAGGCTGTATACGTTCACGTTTAGCCATATATATCAATAATAACAACATTTTGTGAAAGGGGTAACATGCTTTATGTGGCATGTTAAATTGGGTAACAAGCTGAAAAAGTTTGGGAACCACTGTTCTAGAAGATCCAAAATTCACTTAAAGTAAATGAAAACGGCACGAGGTTAACGTTCCAGCTTAGTCTGTGATGTTTGTAAAGGCTCTAGGTTGAAGGCTAAGCTTCAGCCGTAATTACTATTCAAGACCTACATTTCATTGTGCTTACACGAACTGATAAATTCCCCGAAATAAGAATGTAGCAAATCTCAGGCTACAGTAAAGGCAATGACGCCGTTTCTACCTTCAAAAGTATTTTACATAATGAAGTTGCAGGTCCCGAGGATGAGATCCTTGAGTACGCTTTTGGATATTCATTATACTTCTAACTTAAATAACAAAGGCACAATGCCGCGACTGGAACAATGCACAAATAACCCGCACACAAGACTTCCGACGTTTCGGTCAGACTTGAACCATTTAGTCTAGTCTGACTTTGTAAATGGTACAAGTCTGACCGAAACGTTGCAGGTTATTTGCGTATTGAAACTTACAAAAGTTACTCAGTGGCTCAATTATTTTTCCAGTCTACCGCAATACTCTCCAAACCTTTCGTGGTTTGGAGTGGAGGGGGTCACCTCATTTGCCGACAATCAGCTTGATTTGTATATAAAATTTGATAATGAATTACTTAACAGAATAATTAGTCAATCCTAACTGATTTATTGGATATTAATTGCTTTCCAGACATGTTAAATTGCCTGTGGTAAAGTACAGTTGGGGTCCCAGTGCGTAATGAAAGGCAACTTTTGCATTTGAATGACTCAATTTTGCTAGTAATTAACCTACTATAAATTCAGGATTACTGCAAGTGAACTTAGTGAACACTGTAACGCTAAACAAGGCCACGTGATCTTTGCGAAATAGCTTTTGTGTAACATGTCCCTTTATTGATACTGTTGTACAGTGATTTTTTTTTAAACTTTGGTAAACTACTCTTCTCCCCAACCTCCCTTCATTCCTACAACACTCGTTCAAGCAATTTCCATACTAATCCCCGACGGTCCGTGCCCCACGAGCTTTCATTGTGTTCTCTTGTTTGTTCGCACTTTTCCCCATTTCCCATTGTTGATGTTTGTCGTGTTTGCGTACACTTGTTTTGAGGTTCCTGAGAAGCATAATGAAAGGTAAACTTCTCTATATAAGAAGAGCCTTGCAAGAATCTTGCCAGCATGAAACGAGTAGTTACGCAAGATGACAAACTTTTTTAAAGGAGTTTTTTGTGGCATTAACGTGGTAGTGATAAACTCTGAACTTGTATAAAGTACTTTATTTTTTAGTTCCTTAAAACAGCTTCCACTAATATTTAGTTGCTGAATTGTTAAATAAAATTCGCTATTCTTAGGTGGTCGTGTGGCCAACTTAAAGAAAAGACTATTGACTGAAGCAGACGAATTAGTCGCCCTCTACACCAACTCTGCCCATAACCACTTGAGAGGTAATGTTTAATATATGCGCAGGGATTGATAAATATTGGCGTATATAATAAATGTATGTGTATATATAACCACCTGTATATTTACCCCAGAGAGAGCACACAGTGAAGTTGTTAGGGCGGTGAGTGAAGGCAGAAGTGGACAGCCCTGGACGGAGAGTCAACATCACAAGAGAAGTCTATATAGGGACTCTGCAGGTAGGCAGTTTCGTCTATCTTTCAAACACATTTAATCGTAGTGTTAATCAGTAATATCATTTCTTATCTTTAATCTGCATTTAAAACTTGTGTACTGGGGAAGGGGGGAGGGGTAGATTAGTGACGCTGCTAGTAAATCTCCACTAAAATTTTAATTGCCTTCCTGACGCTGGACCACCGTGACTTGGGGGATGGGGGGGGGGTTGGGGCGAGACTTGTGGCGAGACTTGTGGCGACAGTGTTTAAGATAATGTGAAGTCACGAAAGCGCTGGGAATTTCACTATTCTTTCACAGTGGTTGTTTTACATAGTCTGATTTTACTGTAATCTTATTGCCCAAGACAAGAATATTTATATTTCAACATTTGTGACTCGTAACCTGGGAGTCTTGGAAAGTCTCACTTGTGAGCCTGGGTCTTTATAACTTAAGTTCATTAAATGACAATCTTGGCTATACATAGTTAATGATAAGCTTGTCAGGCGACTTTTTAAATATCCTTTCTACAATTAGGGCATGGTTATAACTTTAAGTATATATAGCAAGAAAAACCACTAGTTCAGTTACAGCTCTTAAACAGTTTAATAAACTAGAATATGGTTAACATTTTTTACTTTAAATTTAACATGCCATATGGAATAAGATTTGTTAGTTTCTAGATGGGGTTTTCTTAATTTATGAAGTTCTGATAATTGTTGGCAGATAATGTGGGCTAGATTGTTATATCTGCAAATTAACCAGTTATCAAGAGTTCGATATATTTTATTAATATGCAAAAGTTTGCAGTGAAGGTCACTAGGTTTTCTTTTCCTCAGGTGCGACAGTGTTGTCTGCCGTGGAAGGCGCGGTAAGTCTTGGTGTACGCGGCTCCCAGTCCGTCCATATGACAGTCTGGCATGACAAACTTATCGTCGCCCTTGTCAGCAACACTGTAGAAGTTTCGCTCTACACAGTAGACCAGAACACGCTAGAGGTAAGGTTCGTCTACACAGTACACCCCCCCACCACCACCACCACCACCACCCCTGCATGCAAGCTCGCAGACTTTCCTCAGCAAGTTCACTGACTAGTTTTCAAAATGACTAGTGTAAATAGTGTACTAAGTGAAGCTTAATATGGTTCCCCATTTTGTGACTTAAACATTACTGAGTGGTGAAAAATTCGTGTGAAAGGTTTAAATTTTGAGCTGCCGGGATTAGAACCCATGGATAGTCGCTGATCTGCCTTAGCCACTTGTTCTAATTCATTATTAACAGTACGTTAAACTAATCTAAAAATCCTCCTAGCGGCGACCATCTATGAAATTTGAAGAAATTGGGTCTAGCTTTATTAAAATCGCCCAGCTGGAGTTTTATTTAGTATTTTAAATTATAAATTTCAGAATATTGAAATATGGCTCTTTACAAGATTCTAAAATTATGCCCATTGTCTGTTATTAATATAAGCAATTCTCTTACGATGAATACATCAAATGCATTAAAAAGGCATACAGAAAGCAATAGTTAAATATGGCTCAATGGTTGAATAATTTCTTAATCCGCATTACTTGTGAAGGTTCAGCGCTCGCCAGGACCAAGGGGAAAGTGTGAATTTGGACATTTTCCTGGTGATGGTCTCTTACTGGTCTGCATCACAGTTGGAAAACAGGACCACTCTCGGGATGGCAACGGTTGCCATTATGCTGCTGAAGGTGACGTGGCAGTCTACCTGGTGCAGGAGGCAGCTCCCGGCCAGGGCGCCCTCCACTTGCACCTCTTACAAGCCATCCCTACGAGTAGTCCTAGCTACGTGCATCTATGGTAGGTGACTCCCCATCAGACTATCTTTCCTTCAAGTACACAGCGAGATACTTTTAAGGAAAATGAAGGAACAAATTAGCATCTGGGTTATATTTTAGACCACTAGTTAACCTTTTTTTTTTTTAGTCCACTTAAACTTTCATACATGGACTGACAATATTTTACTGGTTTCAAAGAAATTGTATACGGAAATCTTACTAGCAGTACGTTAATAAAAGTGTATAGATTACTTGACACTCGTCAGACTTCCCATAAAACTGAACTAATGCAATGATTGTATCTAAAGGCAACAATTTAAATTTGGGGGGAAATGTGAGAAGGTCAGGATGAGAATAGTCGGGGAGAGAAGGAAAGCGAGGCGGAGAGGTTGGATATTGTCAACTGTTCATTCATATATTTAAAAATGGCTGTTAGAAAGGGCACATCGAAGGTCAGTTTCAACATGAACATGGATAGGTGTTGAGCCTTCACTGCCAGTAGTATGGAGCCCAAACTAGTAGTTGTGCTGAGGAAAAGTTAATACAAATTTAGCAATGAACTTGGCTATTTTTCACCCAGAATGACAAGTTCTTCAAACCTGTCTTGATGGTACTGTCATTGATATGGCCAATAACTCTTCTTGTATCTGTACTCAAATTTATCAGACATCTGGAAGGATTTCCTGTAAATCATTGCAATGGTATCAACCTCTTTCCTGAAAGTATTGTTTGAATAGCCATGGATTGCGGATGCTCTATGGTAAGAAAACTGTTACTTCGATTATAGCTGTGAGTGAGGAAGGCAGAAGTCTAACTTTCGCGTTGGCTCCCAATGAAAGACCATACTCGTATACAGTGGTTATCATTGTCATCTTTTACTTTCACTGTTGGGTGAAGCTTTAAGATCAACGCCTCTTCAAGGGGGGCTCCTTGGCGTGGTGAAGAGGCTCTTGGTCTGAGGAATTAGACCTATCGGTCTTCTTCCTCAGACCGAACCTAATTACCCCCCAATCTCCCCTCCCCTATCCCATCCTCCCCATCCTCCCCTTTTTCCTTTCCTCCTCCTCCTCCCCACTCCTCCCTTTTGCCCTTCCTCTTTTTGTCCTTTGGGATTTCTCCCACAGGCGCGCTAGTTCCTAGGTAGGGGAAAGGACACCGGGGTCCATCCCATTCCGTTGAGGTTTCTTGGCGGTGGCGTAGTTTGCCGTGGAATCTGGATGCCTAGGGATGTCCCGATCCCTCTCCGGTATCCCGGAGTAGCTTTGGGTGTCTTTTGGGCGACGGGTGTAGCTCTGGAAGCCACCTTTCGGATTCCGGGGGTGGTGGCTGAAGGAGGTATGCTTTGTGGCGGATATCCGGCCGCCCTCTCTTTTGTCCCCGAGGTAGCTCGGCAGATGTGAGGTTGCTAACCCAGATTGCTGGTTTACTGGCATGAAGGGTGGTATGGCACGGGTTCCATGCTGCATCTGCGCTACTAGCGGTGTCGAGTCCTCTTGGGCGCGGAGGGAGATTTCTGGCCCTTTCATCCCTCCTAGGAACTATCCCTCCCCGGTCCCCCCTTTTTTTTTCTTTTTTTTTATTTTTATTTTCTTTTCTTTCTTTTTTTTTCTTAAAAACAAAAGAAAGAAGTAACCTAACCATGGCAGCCCTAGTCCATGAACCTGGTACCCCCGGGCCCCTTCTTGATACCGCACCCCGTTCTGACCCCGCCTCGTCTTTGGACCACTCTTCAGACATTCCTCATGCCTCTGTACCTATTGCCGGTGCTGTTTCCTCACCCGCTTCAGGTACTGAGGCCTCGACTGACTCCTTCGATTTATCAGACCTTCGCTCTCCTCTGACTATGCTTCCGGCCTCTCCCTCTACGGTGCGGCAATTTTCAAATCGCCGACCCGTTCCACGTCGGACCAACTCTGGTCCCACGCCTAAACGTCAACGACAATTACCTGCTGATGATACTTCTCCACCTTCACCTTCTCGTTCTTCTCAGAAACGATCGACACGTCCTTCACTACCTTTCCACGCTCAGTTTCAGACTGAACAGTGGACTAAATTCTTCACTTTACGACCAACTTCCTCTACTGCCTATCTTTTGACCATAGTATTGGCAAGGCACTCCTACGCCATGTTGGTAAAGATATTTCTTTTCATGCTCTTAAGAGCGGTACGCGCATCATTACCGTACAGAATGCTACCCAGGCTCGTGAGCTCTCTCGTCTTACCATATAGATACTGTTCCTGTCACCCTTGGAAAAACATCATTCCCTCAATTCTTGTAGTGGTACCGTTATTTGCCCCATACCATAGTTCAACAAAATTTCCAGACATGTGGCACCGACATTCTAGAACAGCTGGAACTCCAAGATCTCCCAATCCTCAAGGTAGACACTTACGTTCTTCTTGCCCGTGGGCGGAGGACGATACCCTAGCAATGTGGCTCGTTTAACTTTTGACAGCCGAGAACTCCCATCCTCCGTTTATATAGCAGGACATCGGTTACAATTTTCGAAAGGTGATCCCTACACCACAACAGTGTAGAAATTGCTGGCGATTTGGCCATCCAGCGAAATATTGCAGATCTATCGCCGAATGCCCAGTCTGTGGTGCCGATGACCATTCTAATACGTCTTGCAATCGATCTCCCTCTTGCCTTAACTGTCATGAGGCTCACCCTTCGTACTCTCGCCGTTGTCAGGTCTATTTAAACGAGCGGGAAATCCGTTACCTCAAAGAGACAGAAGGTCTCCCTTATGCCATGGCAGTTTTCATCTCCGCCTCCAAGGGAGACTCCCACGTGTTTCTTATTCCCGTGTTTCAAAACGTCCCCCCACTTCTGGTATCCCATCTTCTACACCCAACCTTGTGGTTACCTCTCCCATAATCACTCCTGTATCTAATCCTTTTGCTGTCCTCGGCTCAGACGTCCCTACTTCAACGCCTCAGTCTAATCTCGCTTCTTCGAGTTCTCTCTTACAAGCCTCAGTATCGACGAGACCTCGTACGACACCTTTTCCCCAAATCGTCCCTCTACTTCTCAAAAGTCAAAAAAAAGGTCCGGAACACCTCCTACCCATCTTCCACCTCCTCATTTTACCCTCCCTGTCTCTTGTCCCTAGTTCTTCCCCTCTCACTGGCTCAGTTACAAGTGCAGAGGTTCACCCTCCTCCTCGTAATGTACCTTCCTCCCTGTTCCCCCCCAAGTTTCTTCCTCTTCTGCCACCTCCCAGGTTCCTGTCTCTTCTGTCCCTGCCACGCTTCTCCAGTTCCCTCCACCCTTTCGCCCCCCCTACCTTGGTACAGTCCAATACAGTTCCAATCTTTACTCATCCTCCCCTACCATTCCCAATATTGTCTCCCATACAACATCTCTGAATTCCGAAACACTTGAAGCAATCTCTGAATATATTGCAGAGACCAAACCATCAATGGACACTGATCCACCTTCCGCTCTTCCTCTCTCCTCTGCTCCATCTGCGCAACTCCTTTCTTCACAGCGCACCGTTCCTTCGCTGCTTGAACATTTTCCACTGCCTCCGCATGTGGACTTTTCTAACCCTTCTAGTCCGTAGGAACCCTTACCTGCGGATTTCAAGTATCTTTATCATTGCCAATCATGGCCTTTTTACAGTGGAATATACGCGGCTCAGGGGTAATCGGGGTGAGCTTCAGATGTTACTCTCCCAGTTTGCCCCTGTTGGTGTTTGCTTACAGGAACCAAAATTACACTCTGCTGTTATTTCTCACATCTCAGGCTATAATTTATTGTATTCTTCAGATCCTTTTCCTGATGGGACCTTTAATGAAAGTGCCCTTCTTCTCCGCACTGATATTCCGTACCATCAGCTATTTGTTCATACTTCGCTGCATTACACAGCAGCCCGTATCCACTTACATAGGTGGTATACGCTCTGTTCTTTATATCTCTCTCCTTCTCGGGCATTATCTTTCCGGATTTTGCCTTCTTGTTTCGTCATTACCGCCCCCGATTCTGTTACTTGGTGATTTTAATGCCCACCATTTCCTCTGGGGAGGGTCTCACTGTGATTCCCGTGGAATTCAGTTAGAGGCTTTTCTTGCCACCCACCCCCTCCATGTTTTAAATACAGGTACTCACACCCATTTTGATCCTCGGACTCATACTCTCTCTTGCATCGATCTCTCAGTTTGCTCTTCCTCCGCCGCATTAGACTTTACTTGGTCTGTTCTCCCGGACTTACATGACAGTGATCATTTCCCAATCATTCTTACTTCCCCCTTTATATTCGCCACCTCTTCGCACCCCACGCTGGCAATTTAATCGGGCAAATTGGGAACCTTTACTCACCCCCTGACTGTTTTTAAAGAGGTTCCTTCTTCGTCCTCCATCGATGAGCTTTTACACCTCTTCTCGTCCTCCGTTTTCACCGCAGCTTCTCATTCTATACCCCAAACTTCGGGCAGGCATTCTCAGAAATGCGTGCCTTGGTGGTCTCCTGCTTGTGCTCGTGCAGTACGTTTGAAACGCGCTGCATGGGCAGGTACCGGTACAATAGAACCACAGAGCGACTCCTTGATTTTAAACAGAAGCGTGCGATCGCTCGCCATGTCATCCGTGACGCTAAACGCACTTGCTGGCGAGATTATGTCTCCACCATCACCTCTGCTTCCTCTATGATGCAGTCTGGAAAAAAGTACGAAAACTGAGTGGTAAATATTCTCCTGACCCGGCTCCTGTTCTGCGGGTTGCCGGTGTTGATATAGCAAACCCACTAGATGTTGCCAATGAAATTGGCAATCATCTGGTCCGTATTTCTCAGGGACTCCATCTATGCCCCTCATTTCTTTCCTCAAAGTCTGCCAGAGAGTTAGCACCCTTGGACTTTTCTTCTCTCAGAGAAGAACAGTATAATGTGCCTTTTACACTTCAAGAACTGGAGGCAACACTCTCAGCTTGTCGATCATCGGCAGCTGGGCCCGACGACATTCATATTCGTATGCTACAACATTTACATCAGTCAGCCCTTGCAGTCCTATTACACCTTTACAATCTTATTTGGTCACAAGGAGTTCTTCCACAGCTGTGGAAATCCGCCATTGTTCTCCCTTTCCGCAAACCAGGCACTACGGGACATGAAACCTCCCACTATCGTCCATTGCTCTTACCAGTGCAGTTTGCAAAGTAATGGAACGTCTAGTAAATAGACGTTTAGTGTGGTATTTAGAGACACACAACAGTCTCTCCACTCGTCAATATGGCTTTCGTAAGGGACGTTCTACCATAGACCCCTTACTGCGCTTGGATACGTATGTTCGTAATGCCTTTGCGAATAACCACTCAGTTATTTTCCATATTTTTTGACCTTGAGAAGGCATATGACACAACTTGGAGGTATAATATTTTAGCCCAAGCCACTCCTTAGGCCTTCGAGGCAATCTACCATCCTTCCTTAAGAACTTTTTAACTGACAGGCATTTCCGTGTTCGGGTTATAATGTGCTCTCCCCGGACTTTGTCCAAGCTGAAGGTGTCCCCCAGGGATGTGTTCTGAGCACAACACTTTTTCTCCTTGCTATTAATGATTTGGCCTCTAGTCTTCCATCAAATATTTGGTCATCACTCTATGTTGATGACTTCGCTATTGCCTGTGCAGGCGCTGGGCTGTCACCTCCTTACAGTTTCTCTCCAGCATGCAGTCGACCGTGTTTCCAATTGGGCCACCACACATGGGTTTAAATTTTCCAGCACTAAAACCCACCAAATCACTTTCACTAGACGCTCTGTCATCTCTGATCATCCTTTGTACCTCTATGGCTCACGTATCCCTGAACGTGATACAGTCAAGTTTCTGGGCCTCCTCTTTGATCGTAGGTTATCCTGGAAAACCTCACATTACCTCTCTGAAGGCAACTTGTCACAGCCGGCTGAACCTTCTTAAAACCCTTGCTCATCTTTCGTGGGGAGCTGATCGTCGAACCCTCCTTCACCTACATTCCACCCTTATTTTATCGAAACTTGATTATGGTGACCAGATCTATTCAGCGGCATCTCCTGCTACTCTCTCTAGCCTTAACCCCATTCATCACCAAGGATTACGTTTATGCCTTGGTGCTTTCGCTCTTCCCCCGTCGAAAGCCTCTATGCAGAAGCGAACGTTCCATCCTTATCCGATCGCCGTGATGCCCATTGCCTGCCCCTACTATGTACGCTCTCATGATCTCCGCAAATCCCTTTCCCTTTATAGAATGGTCACTGATATTAGTAGACATTCTTTATTTGTTCGCCGCCCCTGCTTACTCCGTCCCTTCTCTCTTCGCCTTCATTCGCTCTTGTCTTCTCTTCAACTACCACCTTTCTATGTACATGTAGCATCTCACTTTTCCCTACCCCCTGGGAGGTCCCAGCTGTTCGAGTCTGTTCTTTCTCCCTCCCTTGCTCGAAAGCCCAACTGTCTACGGTCGCTTCCCGCTCTCTTTTTCTTGACCACTTTCACTCTCATTCTCATGCCATTGCTGTGTACACAGATGGCTCTAAGTCTTCTGACGGCGTAGGATTCGCAGCAGTGTTTCCGGACAGCGTCGTACAAGGGCATTTACTATCTTCAGCTAGTATTTTTACTGCTGAATTATATGCCATCCTTACAGCACTTATCCGTATTGCATCTATGCCTGTGTCATCATTTGTGGTTGTCTCAGACTCCCTTAGTGCTTTACAGGCTATACAAAAATTTGATACACCTCACCCTTAGTCCTCCGTATCCAACTTTGGCTACGCCGCATCTTTACTAAGCATAAAGATATTGTTTTTTGTTGGGTCCCTGGTCATGTTGACGTACAGGGCAATGAACAGGCAGACACTGCTGCGCGGTCAGCAGTACATGACCTACCAGTTTCTTACAGAGGTATTCCATGTACGGGACTATTTTGCTGTAATATCTTCCCACCTTCACACCCGTTGGCAACAACGTTGGTCTACTATGCTCGGCAACAAACTTCAGTCTATTAAACCGAGTATAGGTTACTGGCCGTCTTCTTATCACCAGTGTCGAGGTTGGGAGACTACTCTCTCCCGTCTTCGCATTGGCCATACTCGTCTTACTCATGGATATCTCATGGAGAGGCGTCTTGCTCTCTCTGTGAGAATTGCCAAGCTTCATTATCAGTCAGCCACATTCTGTTGGACTGCCCACTTTATCAACGAGCACGCAGAATTTACCTCTGTCGTCGTCTTCGCCCCGCTGCTCTCTCTTTACCTTCCCTTCTCGCTGATGGACCCACCTTTCATCCGGACTCTCTTATTGACTTTTTGACAACGACTGACTGACTTCACAAATTCTGATACTTTCAGCCCTTTCTACTTGTATCTCTTGCTACCCTCTACCCCGTACTATCCCCTGCCCGCTGTTTTCTGTAACCTGCTGATCATCCCCCCTCCCTCCTGCCATCCAATTCCCTTGCTTCCTTCCCTACCCTGCAGCGCTGTATAGCCCTTGTGGCTTAGCGCTTCTTTTTGATTATAATAATAATAATAATTTAAGATCAACGTAACCTCAGGCTTCCCTGAACAAGCTAAATTCTTCCCGTAATTAAAGTAGTACGAAGATGCTAAATAAAAGCAGTCTGTTAACAATTTGTAAGACTACATATAATAAATGCCAAGAATATTTACATGGTATGCCCCATACTCTCTTCATTAATATAATACTTATGATTTAGGTAACATAATGTGGTACTTCAACTTTACATAGCTAAAATAATTAACATGTCAGAAAAAAAACCGTGATAGCGTAAAAAAAATTTCACTACCAGCGTACCAACTACATTAAAATAAATTCGGTTTCTGAAAAGGATGGAAGTCAATATATTGGCTACTGTGAGCCAGAAGTTATTCCCCATACTTCTGTGGACCACCTGGAAAAAAAGCAGAGCCACTGATCCATGGGCTATTTAGACGCCCCCCCCCCCCATTCCTTCAGCTCTAAACTGAAGCTGAATGAAGCAGCAGCTGTTTACTTTATTCAAATTTATTGTGCACGAGTTTGAAGATTTTTAACTTCAGTTATTTCAAATATTAAAAAGGCGTTCGGTTGTATTAGATTCTTGGTTTGAATAACCAGATTTTTTAGTTTTTCATTAATGTATTATCGCAATAGTGAATTTAGTTACCTAACAATTAAACTAATGTTAATCTTGCTATTGGTTTTTGCATTTAGCGTTAAATTGGTGGGACGAAAGATTGGGTGTAAGAGTTTTGTAACTGTCTGGTCACATTAAAGCAAAATGTATATTGAACCATAAAATGTCTGCATCGTACAACTAATTGTAGTGGTCATAATTAAATTCCGCTATTTGATTTTTAACTTAAATTTCTTAGGATCCACAGTCAGAAAAGTTATTTAATGGTTGCCAGTGAAGAAGGAACTTCGAAGTCAAGTACCACTTCCACAACGTATCACACTACCTCAAGACTTTACCAGTGGATGGGTCTCTACTTTGACGTATTACAGGAGCTGCCTGCCACCAGTCCTCGAGCTGTCCACCACTTCATGATCAACAATTTCAGTTTCCTAGCTGTAGCTAATTTTAAGAATAATAAAGGTATTTGAATCGTCAGATTAATATATTCTCTCGACTTGGAAAGGATCGGGATGGGGGGTTATATGCAGGGACAGGGATGAAATTATGCTCAGTACTACTAAAATTAAATGAGAGATGAATATCTAACGCTCACTTGCGTGCTCGCAGGTCAGCACAACTGCCACAGCCTAGTGTACCGTTATTCTGTCGACAAGGATCGCTACGTGCCCTTTCAGCAAGTGTCGACGCGTGGCGCCACACACTTTCAGAGCTTTACCCTGGGCACCGGCCACGTCAAAGACACTTTCCTAGCCGTTGCCAACTTTTGTGAAGACGATTCAGGTGATTTTTTTTTTTTTTTTTTTTTTTTTTTTTTTTTTTTTTTTGTGGCATTTCAGAATGATTTACTAGTAATAAATTTGCAATTCAATGTCTTACTGAGTATTTTTGTTACAGTCGGCTGCAACCTTCACACTTCATCTACCATCTACAAATTCCAAACGGGAAAGTTTATCCTCTTCCAAGAAATTGCCACCACAGCTGCTGTACAGTGGATGGCTGTTCAGGTTGGTCTCCTAGTAAACCTTTGGTTTAGTCTGATTAAGTTTTATAACCTTATTTGGCTGCCTCAAATATGCGCAGTACCTGTAGAGCTACATTTTTAACTTTTTTATTTACTATAACTGCAAATGGTATTTAGAATTTTCCCTCCCATCCAATGTCCTCAGGTCGAGGCCACGGTGCTACTTTCTGTGGTCAGTAGCATTGTTGGAGTGAAATTCTACCAGTACAACGGGTGGAGATTCGTACCCACAACCCTTCAGTACTCAAACGGACCTCTCGGTGTTGGCGTCACCGGCATAGCCTCTGTCACCTGGAATAAAAAAATAATTATAGGTGAGAATTTTAGTAGATTACGTTCTGTAAACCACTTTCATTGTAACGTTGCAATGTTTGGAGGAAGGGGGCCGCTCTGCACCCATGCTCCCATTGTTACTTTAATCCTCAACCCCTCAAAGGTGGTTCCTCGACGCTGGTGAGGGGATCTTGATCTAGAGAAATGAATGTGCGCTCCAGATCCCTGAATTAAGCTTGAATACCTTTCACATCCCCCCACAGGAACTGTATAATTCTACAGGTTTAGCGCTTCCCCTTCATAACATTATCCTCCAGTCGTTGATGCCTCAAGTTGGTAGCTAGCTGACCATCTTGAGAAATTAGTGATGTTTTACTCGCGTAGCCACTGCTGGGGAGGGTGAAGCTTCTTGGTCAGAATCTCGCAACCTTTGTGAATCACTGTCACTGCCAACTTCTACCCGTGTGTGCACGGTCTGGAGATTGGAAGAAACACCTATGCCTAACTCCAGTCATAACCTTTACTTTCCTGGAGCATTCTTTGGTTCATGCATAAAGGATAGTATTTGACAAATCGGTTAGGGTAGTAGATTTTGCAGTGATGACTACATTCTTCCTGATGGTAGCTTTAAGTTGATTCTGGGTCACCGATTCTTAAGAAGCCGTTTCCTAGTTTATTGCTTCTGTAGACCCTGCAGTTTGAGTGGATAGCCTATACCCAGCGCACAAATAACTTCGCTATGGTCACTTGTATAATTAACTAGCCTCACAGAAGCGTGAAGGGAAGAGCAAAGTGAGAAGAGGGAGGATGGAAGTCATAGAACAGGATGCAGTATTTTAGTGATATAGGTGGCAATAGGAAGGTTGTGGTAGCGAGAGGGCACTGCAGGTGAACTAATGGCAGAAGAGGGTAGGACTGAATCCCTGCGGGTATCCCACCTAGACACTGGAGTGGCAATGAAAATAGTTGTTGAAGCAAGAGATAATCAGGCAGTCTAGTGCTCTAAATTTTCGAGCATTTGAAAATGTAATGCAGGAAGGCATTCGAAAATGGCATGTGAAACCTTGAAGGGTAGATTGTCTTGGCAGACAAGTTATTAGGATGACTGAGCTTCAGCATGGCAGAAAAGAACACTGGTAATGTTCAGAAGGCTAACATTTTTGTGATAACCTGAAAGAGCAGCCAATTTCTCAAATGTTGGAGAAAATAAGAGCAGGAAATAGTATTGCCTTATTCAGTCTCCAGCATAAATATTCTAAATTTAGTTGGTGTCTGGGCCATGCAGGTGACCAAATCCACTAAATAGGTGGATGCAAGCAGAGGTGAAGGCCATTATTACTAGTTTTGTCTCTAGCATTTTTCTGCCTCATTCCCACTCGTTTGTGGGAAGTGGCTGACCCTGGCTTTTAAAGGAAAGCGAATGAACTGGGTTTATAAAGCCGCCGGTGTTTGGCCCTCCAACAGTCAGAGAAACCTTAAAATGGTATAAAATACCGACAGATTGTTAGGTAAGACACATATGCAACAGTTAGGTATCTTTATTTCGAAACGTTTCGCCTACACAGTAGGCTTCTTCAGTCGAGTACAGAAAAGTTGATAGCAGAAGATACTTGAAGACGATGTAATCAGTCCATCACCCTTAAAGTTTTGAGGTGGTCAGTCCCTCAGTCTGGAGAAGAGCATTGTTCCGTTGTCTGAAACAATATGAAGTTGAAGTGACAGGATGGAGCTTATATAGTGCCAGGTGGTGAGACGTAGGTTGCTTTGGGAGGGCAGGTCCCTCTCAAACCCAGCCGTTCTCACTAGTAGAGGTTGTCGAAGTAGATGGTCTGTACCAAGATACCCTTGTGTTGCAGTGTCTGACAGAATGAACATTAAAATCGTATAAAATACCGACAAAACTTTAAGGGTGATGGACTGATTACATCGTCTTCAAGTATCTTCTGCTTCTATCAACTTTTCTGTACTCGACTGAAGAAGCCTACTGTGTAGGCGAAACGTTTCGAAATAAAGATGCCTAACTGTTGCATATGTGTCTTACCTAACAGTCAGAGAAACCTTTGAAGCTCTGGCATGCACACCTTGCTGCACATAAGCTGAGCAAATGTAGTTTTGGTGCTCTCCCAGCTTGTAAGAGTTTTAATAAGTTTCGTATAAATTAGGTATTTAAATGTTTAGGAAAAAATACTAAATGAAAGTATAAACCTACGCTAAGGTGTTTGAGGTAGATCATGGTAATGAGTGTATATGGACTTCAGTAAGGTTTTCGATAGTTGCACATCAGACACTTGAGGAAACTTGAGGCACACGGAATAGAATTTTTTTCCTGGGTCGAGGCGTGGTTGACAAATAGGCAGCAAAGAGTTTGCATAAATGGGGAGAAATCAGTAAGGGGGGCACGTCACAAGCGGTGTAACACAGGGGTCAGTGTTGGGCCCCTTGTTCACAATTTACACAAACGATATAGATGAGGGAATAAATAGCGACAAGCAAATTTGCTGACGACACCAAAATAGGCCGTCCAATTCATTCTATTGAGGAAGTTAGTGCACTCCAGGATGGTTTGAATCGACTGATGCAGTGGTCGGAGAAGTGCCAGATGCAGTTTAATATAGGCAAATGCAAACTTAGAAATGTTCGACAGGAAAATAACCATGCCACATAAACTAAATGTAGATCGTAATACTACTGATTGCGAAAAGGATTTAAGTTCTGGTTAGCAGTAATCTAAAACCAAGACAACAGTGCCTAAGTGTTTGCCATGAAGCTAACGATCCTTGGCTTCATATCAAGAAGTATAAAAAAGTTCTCGGGTTGTTCTTCAACTCTATATATCCTTGGTTAGGCCTCGTTTAGATTATGCTGCACAGTTTTGGTCACCATATTTCAGAATGGATATAAATGCACTGGAAAACGTAGGGGAGGATGATGTTGATCCCATGTATCTGAAATCTTCCCTAAGAGGATAGACTGAGAACCCTAAATCTGCACTCTAGAAAGACGTAGAATTAGAGGGATATGATTGGGGTGTATAAATAGAAGACAGGAGTAAAGGGATGTAAATAGCGTGCTGAAAATATCCAGCCAAGACAGGACTCGCAGCAATGGCTTAGTTGGGAAAGTTCAGATTCAGGAAGGATATAGGAAAGTACTGCTTTGGTAATAGTTGTGAATGAGTGGAACAAACTACAAAGTACCGTCATAGACGCTAAGACGGTGTAGTTTTAAAAATAGGTTGGATAAATACATGGGTGGGTAAGAGTTGGACCTGACTAGCTTGGGCTACCAGGTCTGGTGCCGTGCTCCTTAAGTGGAAGTGACCCGACTAGGTGGCCATTGTTCTAAGCCGGGGGGGCATGGACCTGCTTCGCATGGGTCAGTAGGCCTGTTGCAGTGTTCCTCCTTTGTTCCTATGCCAATGCTTCAATCGTTAAGCGGAGCCTTTTTTCTCTTCGAAAGCTATAATGCATTGACCCCTGATAATGGCAGTTTAAAATCATAAGCAACCACAATGTTGAAGGGTAAAAGATTGACATTCAGTAAGTTCGTAGAAAGCTCTGAAAGTATTTTAATTGATCGTAAGTCTATGCAGATCTTTATCATCGGTAAGAATTTAAATTCCATAAAATCCTTAGTCAGCTAGTCGCTCGTTGTTGTGACATTCAAATTCTATAGAAAATGGCACTTTGCTATATACTGAAAGGGTTTTTTTGTTTTTTTTCTCCGCATTTTTATCATGAACCAGTGGAACATTGCTGTGCAGCTGACGGTGGCACACGTGAACCGTTTACCAGTGGCATTTGACCTGAAGGTTATTTTGACTTGGTCTTACTTTTTGCTATAAATTTCACTTTGGTTTTTACGATCCAACTAGCTACCTTTGCAATTAACTAGGGAGGTATTTAATGGTCTAGCCCGGCTAATCAGGAACTGATGAGCTTTCAAAGTCCTCTTGAATAAGTAGTGTTGGTAAGCCTTGGTCCCTTTACACTGATACTACCCACTTTGAAGCCCTGCTCTGTACTGGGATTATTTTACACCATACGCAGAGCCTGTTGCGTTCACAGGTAATTGTGTGCAGATCTGGAATAAATTCCTCCAGAATGTTCTGGTGTAAATATGGAGTTATTTGGCTACTTTCCGAGGATTACCGTTTGAGGTAATTCCCAACAATTATACCTCTCAATACTACGATTATATCGGGCTAGTTTTAATTACTCCGTTCATGTCCATAAGGACTACAAAAATTTGTACGGCCTTATTCTGCTTTATAATTTGTTCGAAGCGGTCTCTTGGCTGACGCGGTTACCGGTACACTCTCAAATGTCCGCTAGTCACATTAGCTTTAAATTTTTGCGCCAGGTATTTTAGGCTTGCACTGAAAAATGTCAGAAGTGAAACTTATCGTACAAATATGCAACTATAGTAAAAACATTTTTTATTTGGAAAATTCCTAGTTAATTGCTTAATTTTTTGGTATTTAATGCTCTAAATTAGTTATAAAAGTGTGGGGGGAAGATCTTCAGTTAGCAAATTGTATGTTACAGGAGTGAGCAACGAGGATGATTCAAAGACTTTTGGTGCTCCTACCCTCTACACTATCTCCTTTAAGACTGAAAAGTCACTAAACGTGAGTTTCACTTTTATAAGGTGGTTTGATTTAGTAATCATTGCGAAGTATATCAAGTTTCCTCAAATGAGCTAATATTAAACACTTGATTCGAAAGTTGTATACAGGACTTTGAAATACTACTATACATAAACAAAATATTTTCTCACTAATCGTCGCCAGGAATACTACATGGCAACAGAAAAGTGGTGCAAGAAACTGAGAAGCCACCTGGCGAGGGAAAATCTTGGCAGCCTCTATGACAAAGTTGAGGCGGCACCGAAGACAACTCAGTCCTACACTTTCACCCGCCCCATAGTGGTTGAGGGTAACCTGACGGTAATGAAAGCCAGCCAGGCCTTGCAGGTATGGAAGAGACAGGTCTGTGACAAGTTCCTTGCCTATAGTCGTAGCAGCAGCCCCCATGTTTTGCATAATTCACGTGTACATTTTTTAATAGGAAGGAGCATGGAACATTTTGCAGTACGTTGGCTTCAGAGCTTTTAATTCTTCAGTATCATTAAATATGACTTCAAATTAGTGTAGAGCTAGCAAATAAAGTAACTCTCACCTAGAGTTTTCTAGATGGCTTTCAAATTACTGAAATCTATTCGATGATCTTTACACTGGGGGTTGAGGGAAGACTAAGACTAATGTTCGTTAAAAATTATGGCCCTTCAGCTTCTTTCAGTAACTGCCAGATTCTGGTATAATTTTCAATACCAGTATCCTGTGCAGATTGGTCAATAATGGTCTACATCTTTTTGCTTAAAAAGAAAAAGTTTAATGGAGTGATAGGGCTCCACAATTCAATGGCGTGATCGGGATTTCCACCAGAAGGTGGAAATTCCTATCACATTCAGTGAACTATTAAACTTTCATAAACTTTCTGAACATCAGAAGATTCTTTTCATCCTATTCATAAAATTAGTGTTGTGGCATTTTGTTCGTACATATTGCTGAGGGTTTCAGGTGTACACGCGTCTGACGGACGAGTGGTTGCCCATGAACTTCAGGAAACTAGAAATGAAGAGGGAGATCGTGCAGCAGATGCTTGACACAGGGAGAAGCAGACTCTCGGAGACCATTACTCTCGCTGGTCCAGTCACTTGGCCCAGTATGTTAGAATACATCAGTAAAGGATACCACTGAATGGATTACAAGCGTTGCACCATTTTCTTTTAACTGATGTATGCATGTGCCGAATAGGTAAAACTTGCGATTTTGGCTTAAATAGCAACGCTCTTGCTGAATAAGGCAAGCGAAAATTTGTATGCAATAATTTCACGAATCATTCTGACCCTAACAAAAATATTAGGTACACAAATAACCCGCGCATAAAAGCTTACGACGACGTTTCGGTCAGACTTGGACCATTTACAAAGTAAATGGTCAATAACCATTTACAAAGTAAATGGTCAAAGTCGGATCGAAACGTCGTCGTAAGCTTCTCTTTTATGTGCGGGTTATTTGTGTGTCGTTCCAGTCACGGTATTGTGCCTTTTTTGTTTAAAAATGTTAGGCTTACAATAATTTAGTAACTATCTAAAATATATATAGTTGCTTTAGGCTAAATTAAATTGCGCTTGCTATAATAAAGGTTAGGCAAGTTTTCGAAGGTTCTTTTAGTACAATTTTTTTTCATTAACATAAATGGGAAAAAGCTTTAAACGTATAGAAAATTTTAATTTACAGAAGTTCTTGCCAATTGACCACTTCTACCTATTCGGCACGACATGTATGTATATACTGCATGCACATTAAATTGGTAGCCTATAATGGACATACTTCTAGCAAGACAGGTTGTATATAGTTGTCTAGGTAAGCCATATTAACTGTGAAATACGTTCTCCCTCAGCCGACTTGCACTTTGACGACCTAATAACGGACACTTACACAATATCCTCTGTTGGTAACCTGACCGTGAACTGGATCAGCGATCAGCAGCTCCCTCACGAAAAATACTTTATTCTCTTGACTGGACAAAGTCCTCTTCACCTGAAGAGCCTCCACTTCAGTCACCTCCACTTACAGGTTTGGTCATGATCCAGAGTCGGGAATTTGATGGAATGCGTATTCATTTAGGTCCACTATTTTTTTCTTATTTGATCGGTTAAGTAGAAATTGAGTGATAATTTGAACAAATTAATCACATTAGCCGGGGGAGGGGGTTGACTGTTCAGTAGAAAATAGCAACTGGTAGCACTAATAGCTGTAATTTTAGTATTAAACTAGTTTCGCATGAACGGTCTTGAGTAAAATTTTTTAAGATGTGGAAAGTGCAAAACGTTTAACTTAAATTTGTACAAATTTTTTTTTTAGTCAGCGGTGATGGTAGAGATGCTTGGAAGTGTGACAGTGTCATCCTACGTGACACTATCGGGTCAACACACCATCACAGGAGAGAAGAACTTCTTGGGGTTGGTGAATTCTTCTCAGGTGTTGGTCGATACCACCATAGATGGTCTCCAGGTCGACCCTCTCACTCTGCTTTTAACTACATCATCCCAGACCCACACAGGTAGTTACCATATTCCCTGTAAACCACTATTCATAAAAATGGGTGGTGGGGGGGGGGGCTAAAGTACTTAAAATTCAGAAGAGCGTTATCTTTACACATTTAAGATGGTATAAAACTACTTCAAAACTGATTTCTTGCTATTTTTGTACGTAGATTACGCATCCCGCGCGAAATAAGTTACTTTGTGAAGTTTATCACCTAACAATGTCGTGGAACTATACTAGAATTATTTATGGAAACCTGTTTTTTACAGAGCATTTTTGTCCGCACGTCTAATTACGCGAGTGTTCATTTTTCATCCCATTCTCTCTGAGTAAAGAACTTTGATTTGAAAGTTTTACTTGACTATATTATTAATAGCTGTATAGGGACGTATTTATGGTAATATTTTATAATTTGTGGAATCTAATCAAAGCTTAAATTAACTTGCTTAAAATAAATTAGTGAAAAATCAGCGGTACGATATTAAAGCCTATAGTAAAATATTTGTTGGAAAGTTAAGAAATTAATATTTCGTACATCATTTTTGATCTCGGGATAAAAGAATAAATTGTTCGAAGTCTCTGCTCGTATACTGATTCTCAGTAGCAGGCATTCTTAGAAAGATTTTCTCTTTGTCTAAAATTTTCTAGCAAGGTTTGTCACCTTTAGCGCCACCTCGGATTGGCTTTGCTTAAATACTTGTGTACTTTTGCTACAGAACGTCCGTAAATACTGCTCTGGTAAACACTTCTAAATTGTTACTAGACTGTAGGCGCAGTTTTTTATACGGCATCAACTTTTAAATTGGCGCATCTAACACAAAAAAGGTTCAATGTAGTTTAAGACGACGTAGATGGAAGTTTGAGTTTTTAAATTTTTAAATTTCAATTCCTTGCCGTATCCTAATGCCTCTTGAGTCGTGTTTGTTTTGCTTAACTGTTAGTACGGTTGTGGTGAAAGTGCCAATTTTAAAGATCTTTTTTTAATTTGTTAATTAGAGAATACCTCTTAGGATAGCTTTAAAATTCTCAACTCTGGTAAATAGTCTTCAGTGGAAAGTTGATACTAATTTGTGATAATCTTTGAAAGTTTAGGAACCTCGAACGCTGGTTCTTCCCCCCCCCCCCAAAAAAAAAAAAAAAACTGGGAAATGCCAATTCGTATTGCGTATCATCTCAACACTTGAACACTAAGGATTTATTGGATAAACATTGTGTTATAACTGAAATTATACATGTTTTTTTCACTCAAACCTTAGCAATATATTTTAAAGAAAATGGAACATTCTAATTTTAAATATAGCTTTTCTTGCATTGGACTGTTGTTAACCTGATAAATTTTCGTGTCATGGAAATGAACCACCCAAAAATCTTTAAAATGTTAAAAAGAAATCTGAGCTTCATGTGTAAATTTTCAGCTCTTGGCCCTACTTGGGTAAGGAAGGAAAAGGGGGGGGGATAGTTTTTCTAGGCCTCTTAGAAGTTTGATCATACATCCCAGCCATACGAGAGTTGAGCTGCAACTCTTCAGCCAATTAGTGTTCAGGTACTGCTACTGTTAGGGAGTTCCCTCAAGGGAGATTACCTTGACGCTGGTGAGGGGCTCTTGATCTAGGGAATTGGATCTGCTCCAGTTCCCTGAATTGAGCCTGAATGCCTTCAATCCCTCCCCCACCCCACATGCGCTGTATAATCCTGTGGGTTTAGTGCTTCCCCATGATTATAATTGTCAGGGAGAGTTGAGGTACTGGGGACAGGATGATGGATTATTCTGATGGCGCAGACAGCTAAATACGTAGTTATCTCGGGTAAAGCCAGCAGACGTAATGAGTCATGATCCTCATTCCCTGCATCAAGTTTTAGAATATGCAATACCTACTGAGGGTAGTGAATAACTGCTCAAGTTTACGGCTGGCATGAACTCCACACTGCTCTTGTTTCACAGGTCTGGTCAGCTGTACTGACCTCGATGCTGTCGCTGTGAAGATCAGCTCCATCAATAACGTCAACATTAATCAGCTGTTCCAACACCTTGTAACTCGTGATAGCGCTACAGCAATCGCTGGTATTTATTTTCAATTTTGTATTTAAATTTGCAAGGGTTGAGCTCCAGCTCCCAACATTAGTCTAGCTAACGTTCTTTTTATGTAAAAATTAGTTTTGTCCAATCTGGACGTAAAATGTTTTAGAAAATGCCCCATTTCTTAGTTGCGAAGTCTCTCATTTGACCCTTAATCAAAAGTTAACAACGAAGGTGACATCTGCACATATTTCAAAACTAATTTTGAGTAAACATTTACGGTCGTATGTTACATATTTATTTACTTATAAATTTAGCATGACTGCTAGAGAATGTATTTACGTTAGTTTAAAAATTTAAATGCATTCATAGGTCAGATCCGGATACGAAATGACCTATTTTTCTCTGGCAACCTGGAAGTGAACATCACTGCAAATATCGACCTTCTTAATCCTCTGAGAACAGACGAGCCCCGGTTACAAGTGCTAAGTGGTAAGTTTTTATTGTTGCTGCAGTTCCTCAGCACACGCTGGTTATGGCATCTTCGGAGATTAGAAGTCAGAGGCTAGACTCTCCCATTTACTGTGGCTCAAGAATTTAGCGCTTAAAAGGAAAGATTTCAGTTCGCCAGCACTGCTTATTGGTAGTCTGCTAGTGTAAGGTTTTCATGGACTAATTTTGGGAGATTCTGAAAAGTTGCAGAGGTTGGTGGACGAGTTTGGTAGGTTATGTAAAAGGAAATTGTAAGTGAATGTAGGAAAAAGCAAGGAGAGGATAAAAAAAAATAGGTAACGGAAGATTGTATATCCGATTGGAGGGAGAAGGTATAGAGGTGAATGTGTTCAGGTATTTTGGAGTGGACTTGTCAGCAGATGATCTATGAAGGATGAGGTGAATCATAGAACTGACGAGGGGAAAAAGGCGTGTGATGCACTGAAGTCTGCGGGAGACAAAGAATTTTGTCCATGGAAGAAAAGGGGAAATAGTTATACAACGTTTCTTACATGGTGTGAGGGAAATGGGTGGTGAATGTTGCAACAAGGCTGGAGGCAGTGGAGATGTCTGAGGGCAGTGTGGTGTGAATATAATGCAGAGAATTTTAGTTTGAAAACTAGGTGTGGGATTACAAAAACTATCCAGAGGGCTGAGGAGGGGTTATTGAGGTGGTTCGCACATGTAGAGAGAGATGGAACAAAATAGAACTCCCTAATGATTAATAAATCTGTAGTGGGGGAAAGCTGGATAGGGGTCGGCCTAGGGAAGGTTGGAGGGAAGGGGTAAAGAAAGTTTTGGACTTGGTTTGGGGCTTGGGCTGCCAGCAAGAATGCGTGAACTAGTTAAATACTAGCGAATGGAGAAAAGTGGATTTTAGGACTTTACATGCTGTTGGAGTGTGAGCAGGGTAATATTTATGAAAGGATTCAGGGAAACCTGCAGGCCGGACCGAAGTCCTGATGATGGGAAGTAGTGCCTGCACTCTGAAGGTGGTGGTAATGTTTTATAAGTAGTGTAAGCGCGCCTCTGGCAAGTGGAGTGATTGATGAGTTTTTCTTTTAACGGCCACTCTACCTTGGTGGGGAAACGGCCAATGTGTTAATAACAAAAATTATACATGGTGGACGGTCAGTCCTTGGACTGAACTAGTTACTGAACTAATTTTCTCATGGTGCAGGACATCATCGGGTGGGCGGCGTGAAGTGTCGGTCAACAAGGGTGGCAGGTAAGATCAACGGGGTAGATGTACCTGCGGAGGTGTTCCTGAGTTGGTCTAACGCGATCTACGGTCTCTCTTCAGCAGCCTTCACTCAACTCGACGCTGACTCAATCACCATCAACACTGCTCTTCACACCATCAAGGTCAGCATGCGTGTCTACTCGTCAGTTGCCCTAAATTTTTTTTTTTTTAGGAAGTACCAGTCTTGTAAATGGTACCTATCTGTAGCTGGGGTACTGCTTGATTGTAGAAACAGGTATTTATTTCGGCCGCCGTGCGATTCCAGACAGATGCACCTCATCCCCCCTCATCCCCCTCATCCCCCCTCATCCCCCCTCATCCCCCTCATCCCCCCTCATCCCCCTCATCCCCTCATCCCCACTCATCCCCCCTCATCCTCCTCCTCATCCCCCCTCATCCCCCCTCTCCCCCCTCATCCCCCCTCATCCCCCCTCATCCCCCCTTCATCCCCCCCCGTCCCATGTACCTTGATAACGAGTAAGGCAGTGAGGCACGAGTTGGAAATAAATATCAATTAAAAGTTGACAACGTAGGACATAGCAGCCCAACTGTTTCAAACTTCCAATAAGAAAGTCCGCTTTGAAATCCTAGTCAATCGAAGCAGCATTCTGTAGGAGTCCATAAATATCTCCAAACACTAACACAGAAGCCGCTCAGAAATTGTTATCGGGTTAGATTTGACTTTATTTCCTCAAATTATTTGATCAAAACCAGTATTTCAGTCCCCCCCCCCCCACCCCCCCTCCGCCCCCCTTTCCCCAAAATTTCCTTAAAAAAAAATTTTGGCAAATTAGGCCCTTTAACAGGGCCAAAATTTCAATTTTTCCGAATTTTTAGAGAAATTTTACAAAGAACCCCTGGCACGTTTAAAGTACGATAAAGGGACCTAAAATTTTTTTGGTAGGGGTTTAAAGGGTCCTTGATATGTTTTTCCCGGGAAGCAGGAGATTTTAAAACGATAATTTTCCATGGAAAATCCTGGGGGGGGGCTTTTCCCCAAAATTTTCCCACATTTTAAAAATCCCTCCCACAAAGCAAGACTCGGCGGGAAAGATGTAAAACCCCCCCGAGGGAAAATTTCAGGGCGGGCCAAAAGTATTAAAATTTAAAAGGGCCCCAAAAAATTTTTTCAGCTCCCTCCTATACCCCGTAAAAATTCCCGGGGTAAAACCCCCCCCCCCCCCCCCCCCGCCCCCCGGGCTTTTTTCCAAGAAGGCCTTGGACAGGAAACCAAAAAATCTTACCGATCAGCGGGACTAGCTCGGTCGGTTTGCGTGGGGGTTTTTTACGCCTTCCCTTGAAAAATTTAAATTTAATTTGAGGGTTTAAGGAATCTAAAAACCCTATTCAGAAAATAGTTTTTTAAACCCAATGAGTTTGGGCTAACCCTTGGCTTTTGGGCGAGCCCTTCAAAAAAACCGTTTGCTCTAAACCCCTTTAGTGAAATTTTGGGGAAATTTTTAAATGAATTTAAATTTTTTGTAGCAGACCGATTTTTTTTAATTGATACTTAACTTCGTCTGGGGGAACATTCTATCCCTCTTGGTAAGTTTTAATCCCGCCCACGGGAGGGAAAAAATTTTGACAAAAACAAAAATTTCTGAGGATTGAGAGTTTTGGTTTTGAAACCCACTTGGCTGCGCAAATAAAAAGGTGAAATTTTTGGGGTCTTTGGTTTTGGGATAAAATTTTTCTCTCCAAGTCTACTTTTTTAAAAGGGGGAAATTCGTTTATAGAAAAAGAATTTTTCCCCCTTTTTGAAAGACTTTTTTCCCGTAAACCTGACTTTAGCTAAGTCCCCTTTTAGAGATTGTACAAAATCATTTAAGCTCAAAGTAAATGATCCCTCGAAAAAAATTTCCCTTTAAAGTTGGTGGGGGCCTTTGTTTAGGAAATTTGGGACTGTGCTTAATTTCCCTGAATTAACCGGGAAAATTAACCCCCCTTCCCCCCCCCCCACAGGACCCAACTTAGCCCCCCCTTAATTAAAATTCGGAAAATAAGAAATAGGGTGTTTTTTTTTTACGAAAAGTTTTTTCATTTTGGAATTTTTTTTACACCAAAAACCCTGCCCATAGAAAATATACAGATTCTTTTTTATTCAGGTTACCTTAAAATTCAAAAGTAATAACCTTAAAAGTAGCCAGCCCTCCAGCTTGTTTTTATTTCCCCTTGTGCCTTAAATTTTTAAAGTTAAACCCCCTCCCCCCAAACAAAAATAGAAAGGGCCCCCAAAATCATTTATAGTAAAAACGGGTTTTAAAAATTAACCCCCCTTTTACCCCTTTTTGATAAAACCCAAATCATGTTTTTCTGAACCCCACCTGTTTTGAATGTTTTTTTTTTTTTTTTTTTTTAGGGAAATGGCATTTTAAAATGTTTAAAATCTGGTTTTCCTGTCTTGGGGAAATATTTAAATATTACAAAAATGTTGTAAATTTAAACAGGTGAAAAATAAGCAGTTAACGTCCTGCGCGTTTTTTGGGGCCCCCGGGAAAGTGCTGCCCGGGAAAAAAGGTTCATTTCCCATGCCCTCCTTCAGGGAAAAAAGTGGGGGAATTAAACCTTTTTTTTAAAAGACGTGGGCCCGTAGGGGCCTGAAAAAGAGTGATCGGGGCTGGGGTTTTTGGGAAATTGAAAAAGAACTGAGGGGAAAGACACCCGTCGGGAGCGCTACTGTGGGGCCTCAGGCGTGTGGCCGCCGCCCAAGACCCGTTGACAATATTTGCTAAAGTCCTTCTCCCAAAAAAGGGGGTGTCTCAATACAGTATCCCATTCTAACCAAACTTTCTGAAGATGTTCCTGTGCCTTTAAAGGTTTTCCCATGGTGGCATATTTTTTTGGGTCTATATAAAGGAGAGGGAATAAGACAGTTTTTAAATTCCCCTCATATTAACTTTTATGTGGGAAAATTACTAATGTTAAATGAAAAAAAATTTATAAATATATAGACAAAGTAAATAAGGGACTTAATGGAATCCACATAGGATGGGATGATACTTTATGGATTTTAGGGGATTCAAGAAAAAAATAATAAACATCTGTGAAGCAAATTTAAATTTTTGATTTTTTTAAAACTTTTAAGGGAAAAAAAAACAAAATGGGTCAGAAACAGAAGAATGGGAAGTTTATTGCCAGGGAAAAGTATTCCCCCACACATCGATTTATAAAAAGGGGAAAACTGCAGGCTAGTTCCTCCATCGTCCCGCCGACATTGAAGAAATACAGAGATATCCTTCGGTTTAAAGGGAACAAAAGAGGCAAATTTTCGGGCAATCAGGCCCCCGGGGGCTTGAGACGGGTTTTTGTAAAAAAACAATTTAGGGAAAATTTTTGGGTCCAATTTGGAAAGTTTGGGAAATTTTTGGGGGGACCCCCTTTAAAGCTTTTTGTGGGGATGCGGGAAATAATTTTCCCCAGGCTTTAGGGGAAAAACTTTAGGGTGTTTTACGATGTTTTTGGGAACCTTTAAAGAAAAGGGCCCTTTAAAAAAGGCCCGAGATTTCTCCTTTAGTGAAAGAAAATCTGTAACACCAGGTAAATAATGATTAACATTTTACATAACCAGCACAGAGGAGCTTACAACGATGTTTCGGTCCGACTTTGTAAATGGTCAAAGTCGGACCGAAACATCGTCGTAAGCTTCTCTGTGCGGGTTTTGTGCATTGTTCTAGTCATGATATTGTGCCTTAACATTTCCTTAATGCTGACTAACAGAGTACCTTACTTAAAATGAGGTCAATTTTACTTTGCTTAACTAGAGATTCCACAATTTCCCCCTCAAAAATAACTCCTGTAAACTTACTCCTGAACTAACGATGCTAGTGCTCGTCCCATCGAAAAAAGTGCCCTGGAAAGTTTTTTTTTTCCTTACAACGTAGTGTTATGCATTTAGAAGTCTTTTACGTTAGTTATGAGGTAGATCTGTAGCTCAATATACTGTAAACTTTAATGCGTATTAATGAGAGATATTTACTTCTAATTGGCTTAATAATAAGTAGGTTCATTTTAGCATTAGTTTTAAAAGTTGTTTAAGGGGGCTAACACTGCATCTCCAGTATCTGCAAAATAAAACTTTTCTAGTTAACTATGTAAATGGGCGGAGTTGCCTAATGCAGACAGTTAAATGTATAAAAACTAAAAAATATTTATTTCAGATATTCCGAGCACGTCTGCGGAACTGACAACTTCGGCAGATTTGGTTCGCCCTTTCAGCACTGTTAGCGAAGCAATAGCCAGCACGGAAGAAGTGGTTGTATCATTTACTCCTGAACAGACAACTGTATCAAATGTCGTTGGATTAACTGACTTTCCCATAAATAGATCTGGTTTGTTAGGTGTAAACAGTCGTTCATCTGATGCATTCTGGACTGTCCCTGGAAGAAAAGAGGAAAAGGTAACTATCGCCGATACTCTGAAATTACTAGAAGAACTAAAAATCTTATGGCAGGGAATGGTACAGAAGTCTGGCAAGAGCTCTGCCTCAAGAGACGTGCAAGAAACTTTAATTTCCTCAGGAAAAGTAGATGCAATTATAAGCATCTTGAAGCACTATATTCGTGATATCGGTAATAGCAGCGCTACTGAAGTAAGAGCTGTAGTATCTAAATGGAACCTGAGTGATCTGGTATATGAATTTATAACAATGGAGAACATGTTGTATGATAATCCCGAGCTGATAACGGCTGAGATTGAAGTTAAGATCAATAATATACACACCTTGATTGACGAAGTGGAAGGAATTATTGAAGCTTTCGAAGAAAAATCTAATTCTAAATTAGAACCCCCAGACTTGAAAGGAATTACAAAAGTAGATTCTTCCCTTCTGCTTACTGGGTCGAACGCTACTGCATATGCTAATTTGACTAGGAAAGTGAAAAATAAGGTTTCGACTCAAAAATTGAGGGAAAAAAAAATAAAAGGATCGATGACAACAGTGGATTCTAGTTTACAACAAACTTCAAAGGTACCATTGACAATAGAAACCCCAGCCCTTTATATACCTGCAACATCAGATCAGTCTACAAAAGAAATACATACAATAGACTCTGAACTGGATGCCACGACGTTGGGATTGGCAACAGATAAAATAAACGAGCTTCATTTGTCGACAGATCTCTTGCCACTTTCAGAAGACCCCTCTGTATTCTCTTTCCTGGAAGAGCCCGATGATTTCTTTGTTGGCGATTATAATTCTCTAAATGTGCACGACAACCTCCCCAAGACTGCCTTTTTCAAAAACTCGTGACGCGGGGTTTTAACTCGTTCCAACCCCCACCCCCCTCGTTAGAGGAGCCTTTGGTCCCGGGAATCCACTAAAGAATTTTTTTCCTTGTAAGGGAAAAAACCTTTTTAGGGCTGTTTCCCTCAGTGCTAGAAAACAGCAGGGTGCCTTCGACGCCACTCTCTCAGGAGGCTGTTTTCATGCGGTTTTCTTTAAAACCGTGAAGTTTTTAAAGGTGTAGGGCCCAAATTCCGCAAGGAAAAATTACATCCCGGGGTTTAAAAGAATTATTTCCCATTTCCCCGTTTTCTAACCTGGTTGGGCCTCGTTGCCGACTCTTTTAATAGCTCTAAGCTCTCTGAACCCGAACAGTTTTCAAAATGGAATACCAGCCCCCTTAAAAAGGGAGAACCCAAAGAAGGGGAGGCACGGCAGATTTTACCCATGTTTTCAAAGGGTTTCATTATATATGCACCCTACTTCATGCACATAAAAACCTTCAAAGTGACAAAGGCACTTTTTTCCCCTCGATCATTCTAGAAAGATTTCAAGAAAAAATGCTAATGCTAGCCACCTAAACCCCACTGTTCCTTTGGAAACGAGATTGTTTTTAATTTTTAAACAGGGCCCCCAAAATTTACAGATGCTGGTTACCCCCTTTGGGCATTCTTTTAAAAAATAAGCTAGACAGCTTCACATACAAAAAAACGGGGGCGGTAAATGCGGTCATGCCCCCCGGGGGAAACAAGCCCCGCTGTGAAAGGAGCTTCCCCAAGGAAAAACTTTCGGTTTTGGGTCCTGAAACCCCTTTGTTGGGGGTAACCCCAAATGGCGATGAGCATGAAAATGTTAAAATTTTCTTTAAAGAGAGGCGTAATGACCATCTTATCGAAATTTAAAAATCTGTCCGAGTAAAAGGGGAAAAATCCAGGGGGCCCTTCAAAACCCCAGATAAAATAAAACGGATATAGCTTTTCCCCACATGGTTTTTTTGGGACAGACTTTCAACCCCCCTTTTAAGCATATTTTCGGACAGTCCCGCACAAAAAGATCAGTTTTTCTTTCTTTTTTTTGTGACGGGGGCACTTTTTAAAAAAAGCGAAGGGATCGTTTGATGAAGACCAAAATAAAAGATTGGTTTTAAAACCAAAAAAGGGGGTTTTAAAAGAAAAAAAATTTTCCCCCAACCCCGACATCTCTCTACCGCCGTTCCCGGACCTCCGGTACATAGACGGTTCGCCTTTAAAAGAAAGCAATGTGATGAAAAAATTTTGTCAAGGAATTCCCATTTTAAACCCCGGCCCCTTTTTTTCTCGCTTGAAAAACTTGACAAAAGTTTATTGACTGCCCAGGGGGTGCATATTTGTATCCAACTTTATGTGGAAAATTTTTCCGTGTTTAGGATGAGGGTGCAAGTGCTATTTTTGGCACCCCTATACACTTTGAGACAGGGAAAAAGGGCACACGGAAAGGGTTTTTCTTAAACCCCTGGGGGGAAAACCCCGGCGATAGCGAATGGCCCAAAAAGAGCTAAGACTTTTAAGAAAAAGTTTTCCCGGAAAAGGGCTAACTTCGGTAAAAAACGGTATAGCTTTCCCCCCAATGGGGTAAGATTTTTAAAAAACCCCGGGCAGTAATGTAGTTGAAAAAGACTTTTTGCACCTTTTTAGGGGAATTTTAAAAAACCCAAGTTTTTTTGTAAGCCCAAAATAATTTTGAAAAAACAAAAGGGGTTCAACAAAAACTTGCCCCCCTGCCCATTTTTCCAAGCCCATTTCCCCGGATTTGGAAAATAGATTTTTCCAACAAAGTTTAAACAATCGAACCTTAATCCCCCACTTCCAAAATCGACAACGTTTAAAAAGCAAGGTGAATTAGTAAATTCATTAAAGGCCTTTTGTTAATGAAAGTTTTTACTGCCCGCTAAAATTTAAACACAGGAACCGGTTTGTAAGGGAAGCCCCAATTTTTCAGCAAATTTACAGGGGGCCCACAAAGTTTCTAACTTTTAAAAGGGGGGTTTTGTTTTTTAAAAGGGTGGCAAAAGTTGCCCCAAGCCTCAAAAAACCCCCTTGGGGTTTCCCTGCTTTTAAAAATTTTGCAAAACACCGTTCAATTCCCCTGGGGAAATCATTAAAAAATTTATGGGCTAAAAAAAAATCCTATTCAACTAAAATTTTCCCGGGGGAATTTTGGCCCCTTAAAGTTTTGCCCCATTAACCCTTTTCCAATAATTTTCTTTCTCAAAAACTTTCCCCCGTTTAAACCTTTACCACCCCTTAAAACGCCCGAGAAAACTCCTCATTTACCCCCCACCCTTTCCCCCCCCTCTGCCCCCTACCAGCCCCCCGTCTCCCCCTGCCCCCCCTGCCTCCCCGCCTCTGCCCCTGCCCAGCCGTCCCTTCCCCCTCTCCCCGCCCACCCGTGCCCTCTCCCTCTCCCTCAACCAGCCGTGCCCTCTCCGCCTCTCCCCTCTACCCCAGCCTTGCCTCTCCGCCCCCTCTACACCACCCGGCCCTTCGCCTCTGCCCCCTCCCCTCTGCCTTCCCGCCCTGCCCTCTACACCACCCGTCCCTTTCCCCCCTGCCCTCTACACCGCCGGCCTTCTCCCCTTTTTCCCCCCCTTACACCACCCGGCCTTCCCCCTTGCCCTCTACCCCCCGTGCCTTCTCCGCCTCTGCCCTTACACCAGCCGGGGCCTTCTCCGCCCTGCCCTCTACACCCCCTGCCTTCCCCGCCTTGCCCTCTAACCAGTTTTTCCCCCCCTTCTCCGCCCCCCCCCCTTACCCCCCCCCCCCCACCCCCCCCCTCCCGCCCTTGCCTTCCCCCCTCCCCCTCTGCCCTTCCCCAGCCGTGCCTTCTCCGCCCTGCCCCCACACCAGCGTGCCTTCCCCCCTTCCCCTTAACCCCCGTGCCTCTCCGCTCCCCCTCTACACAAGCCGTGCCCTTCGCCTCCCCCCTTAAAACCCCGGCCCCTCCCCTCCCCCTCACCCCCGGGCCTTTCCCCCCTCCCCTTAACCACCTTTGTCTGGCCCCCCCCCAAAGGGGGCCCTTTGTTGGGGAAAATTTTTTTAAAAATTTTTTCCATTTTTTTTGAACTTTTTTTTTTTTTTTTGTAAAAAAATATCCCAGTTTTGGGATGCTACTCATTTGCGACTCTAACAATGGCCCTTCTAGAGGCTAAAAAAGTAGCTAACAGCCCCTCTTGACGAGGAAGTGTGCGAAAAGACTATAGAAGATCTATCAGTTTCCCCCTGCCAACGGCCCGAGGTCTGGACCTCAAAAGTGTTGCAGCAGGGCTGTCTTGGCAATCGGTGTCACTTTCGGCACCACTGCCCGGGGTTTCTTTCCTCCGGAGCAGTGAGAAGTCTTGGGAGTTGGGCGATTTGTTGCGTTGGTACGATGAAGGTGGGAAAAGTCCTTGGTGTCCCTTTAGACAAAATGGGAAAGTTCGTTTTTCGAAAGGTTTTCAGAGACAGATGCTGAAAAATCATACTTTCAGCAGAATTTCTCCCCTGCTCCTGGCGAAAAAATCAACACAGCCGGTAAACCCGATAAAAAGACCGGTTTTTTTACTCGCAAAACCGCCACACAAAGGGGTTTGTATACTCCCCGTGAAAACCTCAACAAGCTTGCATATGGTCCAACAACTTCATCTGGGGTTTTCCCATGTGCCTGGGAAAATTACATCTGCAAAACCTATTTTCCCTGGCGAATCACCACAGAACCGAAACCAACCATTCGCATTGAGAGAATTATCGAGCTACATATAAAAGTCAGATTTCACCCCGCCCGGGAGACAAGAAACGGTGACACAAGCCAGTAGGAAAAAAACCTCGTTGGGGTCCTTGGTCCATCGTCTAGCTCCCCGGGTAGACGGGGTGTGTGGGTTTTAAGTTGGCAATTTTTCTTAAGTTCTGTTTTATCTTCAAAAGCCAGGTTATCTACATTGGTAAGTCCGATCTCGCTATTCAGATTCAGAAAAGTTTTTGTATTAGGGTTATTGTGCAACACTGCTTTAAATCTCACTCTCCCCAGTTAATTTAACACATGGTCGGGTTTTTTGGTTTTTAATTTTAAAGGGGAAACCCGGGGGTGTTTTCATGGCGTGTACTCACGCCGATGGGTGCTTTCTTGCTTAAAAACTAAAAACTCGGCATCTTTTGGTTTTAAGGTGGAATATTTTTTCCTTCAAAAATTTGCTTGTACTTCTTGCGAAAGACATGACAATTTTAAAAGCGTGGGTTACGAAATGAGAAATTCAGAATTTGCTTTCGTTGTGATTTATGCAAGTGTGAATAGGTGGTGACAGTAACAAGTTGGTACTGATGTAAATTCTACATAATTCTATAAAAGAAATATTAAAGCACGGTTCTAGGACAAAAAAATTTCGTAGTAAGAGGGGAAACTTGTCAGTTCTGTTGAAGAAAATAAATTTCTACAGAGGGTGCGAAGAGGGTTTTTGTCCAGGGTGCATTTAACTATTAGCTTCATTCGGTATAAAATAAAAAAAAAAAAAAAAATTTATGGTTTAGGAGTTTAAAATTGAAATTTATGAAATTTCCCCTTTCAAAATCTTTAAATTTTAAGTGAAGTAGGTTCAAGGTTTTAATTAAGGTTTTCAATCATTATTTTAGTTTCACTTAACTGTTTCCTGTAATTACAATTCAACAGTTATCGCATAATTACTAAACTACAAAGTGGAGTGGTAACAACGTTAGTCATTCATGCAAGATTATCTTAAGACTACAAGGTAATGATCCTCTGACTTTGAAGTGTAAAAAAAAAAAAAAATATCCGATAAATCGGCTAATGTTTAACCAGTTAGTCATCAAAAACCAGTGTCAAGACGTGCTTTGTTGTTGTAAAGTCTGCCACTTACCTATAACGCACTATTACCATTTTTGATAGTGGGAGCGGAGCGAGATAAGGGTACTAGCTTGTCACCACTGAATTTTAGGTTGGAAGTTGTAGCTTTAAACAGCAGTCCTCTTCAAGGGGGGCTCCTTGGCGTGGTGAAGAGG